ACCCCTTACAATTCGAGATTTTTCATAAAAATCTGATATTGCCCAGATTTGCTAAAAATGCAAGGTTAACCCCATACAATTCTGCAATTTTCCGAAAACATCTGATTTTTCCCAATTTCGTTTACAAAAATGCAGGGTTAACCCCTTACAATTTGAAATTTTTCATAAACATCCAACTTTGCAAAATTTCACTAAAAAAGCAAAGTTAACCCCTTTCAATCTGCAATTTTCCAGAAACATCTGATTTTGCCCTAATTTGGCAGGTTAACCCCTGATTTTTCATACAAATCTGACTTTGCCCAATTTTGCTAAAAATGCAAAGTTAACCCCTTACAATCTGAAATTTTTCATAAACATTTAAATTTTTCCAATTGTACTAAAAAAGCAAGGTTAATCCCTTACAATTTGAAATTTTTCATCCACATCTTATTTTGCCAAATTTCACTAAAATATGCAAGGTTCACCCCTTACAATTTGAAATGTTTCATAAACATCTAACCCCATACAATCTGCAATTTTCCAGAAACATCTGATTTTTCCCAATTTTGCTAAAAATATAAGGCTAACTCCTTGCAAACTGTTAAATCAATACATGAAGTGTCCCATTTGACTTTTTTAAAACAAATTATATTTCCAGTTTTTAGGGTAAAGGAATGTTCTCTTTTTCCTTTCTCTTTTGTTGTTGCTATATTTTGCGAATTAACTCATTCGTATGGAAGATCATAGTCAATCAAAGAATATTTCACACATAGGGGCCTAAATTATATTTTTAAAATTTAATAGAGACGCAATGATCGTGCTATCATATACCATTCTATTACTATTGCGAATTACTGTATTGTTTGGAATGCTCACAATTAAAGACACGTTATTTGAAAGATGTATAAATAATATTTATATTACAATGTTCATCTTTATTCTTTCCCGGTATAATTTATGGCGTTTCTTACGTCAATTGGCAATCGCGTCATTATATAATGATAGTCAAATTGATCAAACGAAACTCCGTTTTGATTATAGTCAATTATGAAATATTCATGATTTATGACATACACCTTTGTTTCAATTTTGATACTACCCGTAGACCTGCCGAGCAGCTGTAGATATCAAACTAAACCAAAGTATAAAAGATAGAGGGTAAAAAAAATCAAAAAGTTATGTGCTAGTCAAGCTTTCAGGGATCGGTCTGAGCCATAACAATGCCCCAGCCGATCCCTTAGTTCTCTTCCGGGGTCTCGGCGTCCCCGACCAATACACACTTCCTTCCCTATCCATCCATATAACCCCGGAGGGCCAGGCACCATGTAAAAGCAAAGAGCTAAGGGAGGAACAGGGCGGCCCCTAAGCCCTGATCCTCCGAGTGGACCACATGCCCTGAACCTGTACGAAGGCGCCAACCTGGAACTCGCGGACAGTACCAGCAGCAGTGCTTACCGATTAAGCTTGGTACTTTACGACGGGAAATTAAATCTCTTATAGTAAATGATTGAAATCATACGTTAAAAACCAAAAAGACACCAGCGGGATTCGAACCCGGGACCCCGCTAATCGTGGACGACGAATCGTAACCACTCGGCCATTTCGTTACCTTAGAATTTTCCTTAAACTGAGAAAAGTTGTCTTTATAGGTGAGCAAACGCGCCAGGAAGATTACTGGGTCCAACTGCTTTACCTTAATGGGTAAAAACAAGTCGATATAATGAGCCCAGTGTGTTTGGTTTGTTAGGAAGCTGCATAACACAGCCTAATGTGCAAAACAGTCGGGTGCTTAGTTTTCATCCACATGTCATTTCAAAATAAGCTAGGTCTAAACGCCACTTGCCCCAAAACAAATTAGACCCGTTTGTCCGTGATGTGCGTTAGCTCTAGACTCTGCAGTCCCTGTCAAAAAGTATCTGCCAATACATATTTAATATGACTTTGAGCATGCTTTGAGGAAGTAAAACAGAATCCCGATCGTGACATGCCATTGTCAAGAAGTTTGCACGTGTGGCCTACATCAGGCTGTAGGCCATATCATTAGCATTCAAGTCTTTGGCCATTAAAATATCTTATTATAGAGGAAAAAGCCTCTTTGCCAAGATTTAGAAACTAATTACAGGGATTCCTACAAAAACCATTTAGATCTTTTGTTACCCCATAAAGCGGATTTCGCCTCCTCTTTTGAATGTTTTTGTCAAATGTCCAATTCGATTAAAGTGCAAAGTGTCAGGCTGGCCTCGTCTTAGGATTAAGCTGATCCACCTCTCCAACTGTCCCTCTCGTCTCATAGCCTTCCCTCCTAAGAATTTCCAAGCACTTCACAGTGTTTAACAGTCAATGGAGATTTTGTTTGCTGATCCGCAAGAAGACCGTGATTTCCCAAGACAATAGAGCAGGGCCTACTTTTCCCGGCGTGTGGTCCTGGGGCCCCACACTGGGAGAGGACGGCCCCGCGAGGCACTTGAACCGCCCTGGACACTCCCACTGGCCCCTCCTCCCTCTTATACTTTCAGCTTTGCTTAGCCTCCAAGGATTTCTTTTTCATAGCTCCTTTTTTTTTTACAGCAAAAGATATTTTGCAGTAATTATGAGTATTTGGCAGCAAAGTTGGATTACCTGTTTGTTGACCTTGCCAAAGTGGATGGTTATGACTTGAGGATTGACGATTTTTCGGTGAAAGATTTTCAGAGGTTTGTAAATTCACCCCCCCCCCCCATCTCACTTTTGTCTAAGAAGATGCTATGCATGTCAAATCGTCGTGTTCCAACAGGTATATAATGTATATGCTAAAATACATTTCCATTTTCGTGAGCAAAAGAAAGGGTATACAACTAGTTTACACATAAGATGAATTTTTCTTGGGAACACACTTTGTGCAACTTTCTATACTCCTCTTAAAATGTATGAACACTATTTGACATCCTTTTTGTTTATTGAAAAGTGCACTTATTTAAACCTTTAATTGTCCATGCTTTTCTTGACAACAAGGGCGATGTTGCTGCGATATCATTTCAGGAAGACAGCTGTTCCGTTGTTGGGTTTTCTGTTCAAATTGTGAACCCAAAAAACCGGCAAATTGGAAACATTTGCGAGCCTGAAGTTTGCTCACTGGCTTATTGCCATGACGCTGACACAGCGAACTATATACCAAAAGAAAAGAAGATTGACTAAAGCAAAATATCCAAACTAGTCTGGCAATTTTTGGTGCTATTAAACCATACGCTAAACGTTGAGGTTTCTGCCTGAAATAACATCGCATTTGCTCATGAAAATGGAAATTGCATGAGCATTGAAACCAAAAGGCACCAAAATAACCTTGAAAATTAGAAAAAGAGGACATGATTTATCATTTAAATTCAGTGACAATGAATGTACAGTGGGTCTACCCGTGTTTCATGGAGGAACAAGGACCTGCTCTCAGATGTGACGTCGGATGCAAGTGGTCTACATTCTGACAATAGTCTTGTTCTATGGTTCTACTTCATTGCTCTATGGTTCTACCATAGAGCTAGTGGGTCCTAGCTCTATGGTTCTACAGACTGGCTTTGGTGTTCTTTCTGCTAATGCAGCTGGGACCAATTCCAGCCAGGCAAGCGCGGTCACGTGAATACCCAAAAGCTTGTTGATCATGACTTGATACTACGCCAGCTACCTCCGCAACGGTGACCGCGCTGTCAGGTGCGGCTGCATGAGAACAAAATCCAAATCCGGTTTTGAACCAAGACCAGACCGACCATATGAAGCTCCTTCCCTGGGGCCAAGTGGGAGGGGGGAGGGTCGAAAATCAGTTTACCACGGCCCCATATGAGATTTTGGTCATTAGAACGGGTACATGCACCGACCATCGACCGAGACCTCTGGCGTTGATGATGTCACGGCCATTGGCACTGCGGGCACATAATTTTTATACATGTAGCCCTTGTAGTTGTAGGCCCTAGAAAGTCTTTTTTTCTACAAACCATGGACGACATCATCCCCGAATTACGTTGGAGCAGCAATAATGGCATTTTCATCAACTATGATCAAGGACGTCTGTAAAAAAGCTCGAACAAAGCATTTTCCCCGAAATTGTAGTCTAAACCCACAGTCAAGAGGTACATTTCTAATAAATCATATTTTAGACATACCATGGAGGAAGGAACACACCTTTATTTTATTCCATTACATGACAAAAAAATAGCATTTATAGGCCTATTAGACCAGAATTGCGCAAAAGGGAGAGTGTCTTATGTAAGTAAAGAACTTTGAGAACCCGGTAAAACCCATGGAAACCACAGGGAAACATAAGCCAATGATTTATGCAGTGAAAAATCCCCTAAAATTTTTCCACCAACGTAAAGTTCTGTTGACATGAGTCGATTCTGCGAAAGCAAAACGTAAGCACTAGAAACCGGAAGTACAATGTACTAATAGCTGATGTGAATCATGATATTGCACATGATCTCAGGAGAACGTTTATCTTTCGTCACCAATCACCGCCTAGTGTAACGGTAAGGTGACACTTTTGTTTCAAGGTAGTCGAACGTCATCGCGTAAACAAAGCATACGTGGAGGTGAACGTGTTGGTTTCTTAGCAACTGCCGAGCTATCATTCGCAGGGCTGGGACCGCGTCTTAGTTCCGCACGTACAGTACGTGCTCAGCGCGATATGTGCCTGCATTGATCCATTGCAAAAATATGACCCCCGACAAGTTTTTGGAGTCGAAACTCGATCGTACAGATTTACCTCAGGGGTCTCTGTGTGGGTACACGACGTGACCTCTTGCTCCAAAAATTCCTGGAGGGTTGACTTTGATATGTGGGGTGGATGGGTGGGTGGGATAGGATTATGTGAACGACTCGAGCCTTGTTTTGAGGAAAAACCGCAAGGGAAAACTTTGGGCACATTTTGTCCAATCAGCGGGCAAGGCACGGTGGTGTAAGTGACCGGTCATGCGTACAAGTACACGCGCTCTGTGTCATGCGGCTACTTTCGTACGTGCAAGTATACATGCACATGGTACATGTGCAAGTGCCGTACCGAAGTTATTCGTCACGTGCTTTACACATGGCATGAAGGCAAACAAACCCTACATCCATACAATGTGTACATTAGGGAATCCCATCAGCTGTATACAAAGCTCAACCGTGGAGCTCAATGGCTAGCTCTACTCACGACGCGCGACTAGCCTACTGTCAGTCAGCTTAGCTAATTCCGCAAGCACATGCATAGCATGTAGAAGACTGTCAGTTGTTTGTTTGGCTGGCATCGTTGCATTCTTGGCAAACTTCTTGAGTCGGTACAACAGGAAATCGGTTATCTCAAATCCAAACACTACATGTACTTCTCAGTATTGGTGTTTCATGGATTACCCAGCACTCAGATAAGCTTGACTAATTTGTCGCAGTAGGCAGGCCCAGGCCTACTCTTCTTGTCATCTAACCAGCGACTGCCAAAACTAAGTTACAAACTCTTCAAATAGGGAAAGGTTCATCTGAGAGCTTTTTAAGAAGCACAAGCGATCATGACTGGCCGTCAAGTTCCACGGATTTTCGCCAGTGCATCTCGTCTGCGATCCTTGCGGCACCCAGCCAGCACAATGGCCGTGCCCCGGGAGCGCTCAACCCCACAACAGATGGAAGAGACACGCTCGGATAGGAGCACCGTGCAGATGCACCAACTCAACAAAGTCGTCGTGGACATGCCGAGTGGAAACCCCAACGAACCCACCGACTCCACTGTGAATTCAGTGGCTGAGTCATGGGGGACTTGCCCCGCTGGGCTCGGTACAACCACTGACGCAGCGCCGGTGCCGGTGGAACACATCAAGACACCATCAGCGAACGGTGTGCACACGCACGTACAGTCCTTCGATGAGATTCCTGGGCCGAAAGGATGGCCTTTTATTGGGACACTTGGCACTTACTTGGTTGGAAATGGACTCAGCCGCATCTATGAACACCAGGTAAGCGGTTCCAAGGGCACTCTAGTTGTTTTTACCATGTTTATTTAAAACGATCAGACGATCATTTGGAATGATCCAATAATTATATGCAAACTGTTTACAATAATTGATTCAGGATCTTTGTATTGCATTTATCTTGTTTTTTTTTTTTAATTTCAAATGTGGATATTAATAACCAATTACTGTACATGTACAATGAACATAATTCAATCAAAATTTAAAACGTGTCATATTATTGCTGATTAAATACATCATTTGTATAGGGTCCTCCTAAAAAGTGCTAGTTTGTGAAATAGGCCTACTCCACAAATTAATATCTCACTCTTTTGGCGTCTTTTCCCTCAATCATGTCAATATATTCCATGTAAAGTTGGTACTCTCTGCGGTTCCTATACTATGGAACTTGTTATCTCCATGATTTCAATTTTTAGCCACTTTCAACATGTTTAATTTCATAGTGTCATTGCAGTTGTATCACTAGTGGACATGGGCACGCCACGCTAGACGATTAATGTGCCACCGATTGTGCCCCACCCCTCAATTTGGGGATGACAAAAATAGTATTTTACTGTTGAATTGAAAACCAATTGAGTGCCCCGTCCAGAAAATGAGGCCCTTGCCCCCTCTCCTCCCTTGGCAATGGGACCCCAGTTGTGTCATTATTGTGTCATTGTCAGAACCAAAGTTAGCATTGCTGCAGAATAAAGAGAGATGCCCTAGCATCTCTGGCAAAGCTTAGCTGCGACGTGACGATAATCGTCGCGCTTCTTCGACCACTAACATGGTGCATGTGGTGCGTTGGTTCATGGTCGGTTCCACCATGCATAATTCTACCCTGGCTTAACTTACAGCATACATCCGTGATTTGTTCTTCGAAATGTGTTGTCGATGTTGTTCCTGCAGCATAGGAATCGTGTATATTGGGTCTGATCATTCCTCAGTGGCCCCATACTATAGTTCCTTGAAGTGCAATTGAGGAAAGGCCATGTCATTTTTCGATCAACTCCATATGGCTGCCATGGAAACCGCGGTAGTCAGTATTTAAGAGAATCCCATATCAGAGGGCCGACGGGTAAATACGTGTGCTTTCGTGTCGAACCCCCTATACCATGCCTATAAACTACCTCCATGGTTATACTCATGGATTCACTTGTTGATGATGTTTGAGTGTACGTGTCCTGATGGCCGAAGCAAGAAATCGAGGAGCGTTCGGATAGCCATGTTGTTGAATTTTTTTTTAGGTACGTTTAGTTAATTGGGTCATACTTGATGTAAGTTTTGACAGTTTGGCATACAAGTCAGAATGTCTGACTGACAACGTGCTGTGTTCATGGTGCTGCGAAAGAAATGGCAAATTACTAAATGATCGATATGTTATAAATGACAGCATACGATCCATGGCCTGTTAATAGTATTCGTTCGTCTAATTGAGCTAATCGCATCTGCACAGTGAGGACAGTGATCACGAAGCGACTCCGTGACCACACCAGTGTGAGCATTCACGTGGCTGAAACATGTTTCATCATTCCGAGAATCCCCCCCCCCCCCCCCGAAGTCGAGGAGTTGTTCTTACTATCGAAGGATGAAGAAGGCAGAAGCAGTCCACGTGTCGCTTGTCACTGACACAGTGATGGGCAGTTTCATAATGCTGTTACGTCATCATTCCCGGTGATGGATCTGGACTGAGAGTGATATTTCAAACCATTTGAAATTTTGACCTCGTGTAACTGTAAGCATCCCTTCATTCCACACCACCTCCGCTGATGGAAGAATTTAACTCTGCATGCTCATAATGGCATTACATATTCCAAAAATTAAAGAAAGTTACTCGAAATTCGTGGACAGGCCTCTTTTTGTTACCTCAGTCGCGATATACCTTTCCCAGTGCATTTACGGTTCATTTTGCCTGGTGTCATGCGCACTCAGAGGTGGTCTTTGTGTGCTTTATTTGGGAAACGTGATGTTGTTGCCGTCTTATTACCGACAAATCGACTTGGTTGCTCAGCTGACCTTTTGTCGTGTCTGTCACTAGAGCAAAGTGAAAAACAACCCTCTTTTCCCCTCCTTAATACCGGTCCCACGCACGTAATTATCACAGCTTAAAACATGTGCATTTATCGAGACGTTTTTGAGTGGCACCGTCTTGGGTTTTCTCATCCAGGTGTGAAGAGATCAACGTGACAGCATGACAAGGTGTGCTAAGAAGCTTTTGGTAATTAGCGTTAAACTTTTTGAAAGGTGAAGTGACGGTCGATGTTTACTTGAGCTATATACAGTTGGAATAATGATAGTATAATACTCGCACGAAACCCTGTGGAAATCTGTCTTTCAAAATATTCGTGCCAAAACGTTCGCATAGACGGAACCATTGTTTCCGATTGCCGGTGTGTCTAAAAAAAAACCGGTTAATGCCGTGGACTCTGATTGAGGTCTTGTTAATTTTTCAAATAAGTTTAAAGTTAAAAGCGTTCCACAATCTCGGAAATCCACTGTAAGAGTGCTTGGTGTACACTCGATACGATGGCAAAAAAGTCGGCTAGTACCGGTCAAGACCCCACGTGAGAGGAACTGACGGGGAAAATCGACAACAATCCCCGCTAGACGGACAATACGCCGCTGGCAATGGCCCACTTTACCTGGACAAAACACCAACCGGTTTGAAAGAGCAACCCTCGAAATGGGGAGGAGATTTTACACCAAAAGTCGAGGGGTATTTGCCCTGGCGTTGTTTGTGAGGAACGGACAGCACCAGGAGGTAGGGTAATTGCTGATTCACAATAGACGTGGACAAAAGGCTGTCCTCGTTTGGCTCTTGTCGCCAGTGGAAGATAGGGGCGTTCCCTCTGGAGAAGGGTTCCATTCGTGGGGAGGCTGAAGGAGGCAGCAAACACGGGTGAACGAACTTCGGGAAAGCGGCTAACTTCAAACGTATAGACGGCGGCAGAAGGGGATTTGCCATCCTTGGTCCGGGAGGCAAGGCATGCTAGCGCAGGCGAGCTCCAAGGACTAAGTGAGAAACTGAACACCTAACACATGTCAAACGATAATTACCCTGGGATGAATGCAGTGTCCATCTACTATTATCTGGCTGTAATTGAACAGGGAGCAGCAACACATCAATAAAGTTTATCGAATGTTAAGCTGCGTAGGGAGAACTGCTCTTTTTGGCAGGTTCTGTAGGTTGTGATAATAAATTACCGGGCTTAAAACTTAAATACAAAGTTTCATCAGACATCACAATGGTTACAGAATGCCTTCGAGTTGATCTGAATCGAACTCGTCTGAATGTCTGAGCTGAGTCTGGGCGAAGACCTTGTTGCTTAGTATTCGTTGTTATGGGTTGCTGCATGGAAACTTGGGCGTGATATTGTCTCCTTGAAGCCGGCCTCGACCTGCGATTTGCTTGTGGCGGTCATGCTCAGGTCACAAGATAGAGAAATCGTATTATGGTGGAACAAGCGGCATCCCGACACAGAATAATCGCAACCATGTCGCCAAGTCTCGACGAAGATTCACAATAATATAGTCGAACGAGCGCACGACGTCGTAACTTCACACAGGTCGAAAGCGATTAACTTCCGGTCCCCCGATCAATCGCGGCGCGGAAGTTCTACTCTTCGACTCATGAGAATAATGTCGCTTGATGCTGATCGTCTTAATATTGTCGCAGTTACACTCGGGTCGCAAAAATCGGAAAACGAAATGTGCTCGACGGTCGTAGCTATTGCGCAGTTAAAATCCTGCAAAGTCAGTCGCCGACTGTTCTCTATTATTGCATAGGCGACATGAGGGTGGATTTATTATAGAGATATATACCGTACTTTATTGCATCGAAACCAAAATGATGAGGTATAATGATGATGATGAGGTAAAAAGCGCAAAGAATATCATAAGAAAACGTCCATTTTCTAATAAGTTGAATAACTGTCTTCACGTGTACAGAAGGGAAACTTTGCTACTGGGTTGGGATAATGGCTTTCAAATTTGTCATGTGCATGTTTGTATTGCTGTCTTCAAACGTTTGGCATAATTTACGGACGACGAACGTCCATCCATCGATTTTCCAGGAAAGAGTTTTACCCTTTTTATTTAAACTTACTCGCAAATACATACATATTACTCGTTTCTATATTATCCTGAACTAAATTGGGTCACTTTCTAAATTCGGAGCGATATATTCATCCATGATCTCTATTTTGGCGCCAAGGCACCAAGGCTGTCCAGGTCCCGCTACGTTTCTCACCTGTCCAATCACCTTAACCCAGGATATCGAAGTCCCTCTGCGGTAGACAATTAAATCTGGCAACCCAATAATCTGGCGGTAAGATGAAACGGCTCGCGGCCCCAGCAGCTCCGTTCCTGCCCAGCAAGAAGCTTGTCCTTGGAAGGTGTATAATAATAGAACTAGGCTAGAACAGATTGGATAGCGAACATCAAGTCGCCAATGGGGGCGCGGCCGATTTGGGGTTAAGAAGACAATACGGTTATAACTCTTGCCGCTCCTAACGCGATATACCAGCTTGGTTTCCCTGCTGACTATGGGGAACCTTGCTACAAAAAGAAGAAGTGTATTTGCACACAGTGAAGATGCTCATTGTAAGAAATAGAAACTGTGTTTTGGATTCTAAAAAAAAAGATAAAATTTTGTTGGACTTGTTGAAGTTTCGATGAACTGACAGAATTTATGTCGACCGATCGGAATGTTCGATCCTTCTTTTTACTGCGTGTTATTCTCCATATACATTTTGTACAATGTACATGGGGGAAGGTTCTCTCCATGATACATCGAAAGAACCTTCATTTCTTCGAGTCGACTATCTTTTTGAGAAAAAAATTCTCAACCATATCATGGAAAGCTTGCTCATGCCGTTGTGTGTGTGAAATTGTATTTTCTTGTCAGTGTGACCTTAAGAAAATGTAATACTTGAATCATCATAGAGCAATAGATCAAGGAATGCTTGGATATGTTTTTTTTTTTTTAAGGGTATATGGTAATAAGTTGTTTTGATTTGCGAGTTTTTGGAAAGTCACTCACCTAGTGTTCAAGCAAAGACCCCCGATTCGTGACTTGAGGTCGTGTTCTAGCGGTCACTCACTTTGTCCAATTATACTTGTTCAGTCCAGCCCAACCATCCATGACACGAGGTGCTTGCTCTTCTTGAATCCCGGACTCACCAAACGTGAAACGGTGAAAGGCCCCCGGCGTGAATAGCGGTGGTTTACGGAACACGTATTTGCTGCGCAGTGATTACCCATTTTCCAGTGCCGGTTGTTGACAGGCATTTATGATTGCGTCCGTTATTACAGCCATTCAGTGCCATCAGATGATCCTTTGACGGGGTTCGCAACCCTGATTGTTGGTAATAATTAGTTGGAAGCCAGGGTAGGCAGGCTGAACGGGCAATTACGAGGAAAGGAAGGAAAGGAAAAAAAAAGACCTCTCTTTTCAGGACGCGACCTGCCGGGAAAAACATCTTTTGTTCCGAGTTGGGTTCACTAGCCGAAGATGCGGCACATATATCCAGAGGCGAGAGGTTACTTGTGGTGTCGCATTTGGACAGGGAGGGCAAGGATTGTAGAGTCAAATTAGTTTATCGAAATTTCAAGGATATGGCAGTCATTAAGCAAGAATTTGAGGCAAAATCTTGTAATAAGTGTGAACATTTTGACTGACAAGTATGGGCCACGCTTGCTTCTATAAAACTCCATTCAAGCATCTGTCCTCAGTCATACTTGTTGTCAAAAGTAGGCTTGTGGGCGAAGGGGAGGCCCACATTGGTTTGAAGACATACCCTCCCTAAACAGTTGACTTAAGGATATATATTTTGTCGCTTGGCAAAATTTGTAGTTGAGATTTTTCTGGGGAAAATATGAAATCAGTTTAACTTAAAGGCATCTTAAAGTTAACTTAAGATCATTAGCGTGTCATGCATTGTTCATTTCCAATAATAACACCACTCAAAATCCAGTGAAGAATGTTCGAAACATAACCTGTTGAAGTTTCAGCTCAGTGGATTTTACTCTTGTAGGGAAAGACCACGTACAACCTTCTGTTCACAAAACACCATATTGTGGACTGTGCTATTGTCTATAGCACTCTATATTGAAAAAAAATTCAGTCAATTGATCGATCATTGGAAATCACCAGCATTTATTGATTTCTTCTAAATGACAGCAAGCCAGATGGAATAATTGCTCAGGGTGTTTATTACTAGCGTGGTCTTTAATACAAGAAAGCTTTTTGATAATTAGTTTTTTTTGGATAAATGCAAATGATCCTATTGCCTTAAAAAGAGACACACCCTTTTTAGAGTCTACACTGGCCTGAAATGCGATCTTATTGGGTGGTATTTCTTCTTTTTTCTTTTTTTGAACAAACTGTTTTACCTTTGCGCTTTTGTAAGTTGAGGAAAGTATGCGGCTGTAATATAACTTTGGCTGTAAAAGTTTGGAAGTTTTTATAATTCGTTGTTGTGGTTATGTGATTAAGAAAGGAATTATTTGGAAAAAAATGCTTTAAAGGGAATGTACATCATTGGCTTTTGCTGTAATTTTCAGAAATAGAGTATTTGAGGGGTTAGTATAATATATCAAATATTGTTACACTGACATGTTTGAAGTTTTATGTTCGAAAATGCTGGAAAAACCAAGAAATACAAAATTGTTCATGTAGTCTGGTTCCCTGACTCCACTAAAGATGAAATGGATCAATTTATAGTTGCCAGAAAATTGTAAGGTAAGGGAACCAGTCTAGCTGGCCTACACCCGTTCATGAACATGTAACCAATACCAAACAAAATTTGGACTGAAAAAAGGTAAATTTGGAGCAGTAGTTGAAGTATAGTTAGGTTTTTCCAACGGTGGTCGGCCGACCACCGTTGGAAATGTATACAAAAATACCATTTTCTTGAACATGACTTCACACCAGGTGCCATAATTTTACAGGATGCTTTAGACTGTCATTTACCAACATCCTAGTAAGGTATTTCTTAAAAACTTGGTAGTTTTATTTTTCGATGTTTGCAAATGTTGTATATTCCCTTTAAGACAGTGTATGTAAAAGCCTTGAGCTTTTACCTTTGTTCTGTTTGTAAAAGGAAAAGGTTTGTTTGTTTTACTAAGTAAACATGACACAAGGGTGTATTGGAACAAGTTCTTATTTTCTCACATGATTTGATCAGTCAACAAGTATCTTTTTACCATCAACAGATCGCTTTCACCAAACAGTATGGCCCCATTTGGAAGGAGCGTCTGGGGTCACTGGAGTTTGTTAACCTCGCTGACCCCGAGTTGGTCTCCATGATGTATCGCCATGACAACAAGTACCCAATGAGAGTCGATATGAAACCCTGGAAGGCTTACAGAATGCATCGCAACGAGTCGCTTGGTGTGCTCACACAGTGAGTCCTAGCCCCATAAATGTGGCCTATGTACTGGACTGCCTCCGTAAACATAGGCCACACATCCACATGTACAAAAACGTGTCGCACTTTGCCAAATTTTGATTTTCACATTTAGGCTTAGTTTGTAGGATTTTTTTGCTTTAGAAGCATACTCACCCTCTTTATAGGCTAATCAGAAAGTGCTGCCTTTTTCAGATGTCTAATTTTTGTGAAATTTCATGTTGAAATTTTGATACGCAAACGTGTAAAAATGAATCTGGAAATTTCACGAAAAATATACATCTGGAAAAGGCAGCACTTTCTGATTAGCCTAGAAAGAGGGTGAGTATGCTTCTAAAGCAAAAAAACCCTACAAACTAAGCCTAAATGTGAAAATCAAAATTTGGCAAAGTCGACACGTTTTTTGTACATGTGGATGTGTGGCCTATATGTTTACAGAGGCAGTCCAGTAAATAGGCCACATTTATGGGGCTAAGTGTGTCCATACTCCATTAATTTTGTAAAAAGTTCGATGAATTTTGTAAAGTTTTTTCTCGCCAAAAATTGTTATCAGAAGTGAGGAAAGGTTTGTTTTTCTCCAAATTCCAATGAAATATTTGTCATTTTCTGTGCGTGCAGCTTCATCTATTCAAAACAAATGGGAGTAAGTGGGCAATGATAAAACAATGGCGGATCTTCTCTTGTCTACAAAATCTGGGGGTTTTTTAAACACATTTTGTGCAACTTTCTACTGAATCTAAAATGTATGAAAACTATTTGACATCCCTTTTTGGTTAATTTTATTCAAAAGTGCACTTCTTTAACTTAATGAAACATTAAATATTCTCCATGCTTTTCTGTGAGGTCGTTGTTGTTGTGATGTAATTTCAGGAAGACACAATCAGGTTATGGGTTTTGTGTTCATAAAATGACCCCAAAACTTTGAAAACATCTGTGAGAAAAGTTTGTTCATTGGTTAATACTGCCATGTACTGCTGACACAATGAACCACCACAGGGAAAGAAATTTACAACAGCAAACTATCCAAAATTCTGGTAACTTTTTGTGCTGACATAGCTGTAAATAGATGTTTCTGCCTGAAATAACATCACACTTTTGCTCATGAATATGGACATTTCATTAGCATAAAAACCAAAAAGGCACCAAAATACCCTTGTAAATGGCAAACCGAAAATCAAAAATTAAGTTAAATGGGACACAAAGGTGCATTTTAAGGAACTTGTTCCCAAGAACTGTTGTTTTGCTTTTGAAAGGGTGATGTACTTTCAAAAGTCAGAATCGAAACAAAATGTTGGAGTTCATCAGATCAGAATACGTAATGCTCTAAGGAAAATAACCAAATAGTCTCAATTCAGTAAGAATGCATGAAAAATAAAATTGGAGAATGATAAGGATCCATTTCTCTCTGGTCTGACTTGACAGCGAAGGCAAGCAGTGGCATCGAGCACGCCGCCTACTGAGCAAGAAGATCCTGCCGCCCAAGACAGTCGGCGCCTACGTTGGAGTCATTAATGAGGTCATGGAAGACATGATTCAGAGGTTACGTTACGTCAGGGATGTGACCAATCAGGATGGCCTGGTTCCTGAACTGACCAATGAGATGTACAAGTGGTCCATGGAATGTAAGTGCGAATCCCAACTCGGAGGCGTAGTCAGGGGGTCCTGACCCTCTTTTGTTCAATTTTTAATTTTTATTTTAAACTTTTTTTTAAATGGAAGCTTTAACATGATGGAGCCCTCACACATTCAACATTAACACAAATGCTGTCATTTTTAAAACTGAAAATTTATTCCAAAAGGGTCGAAGCACTAAAAGTTACAACCTCTTTCCAAAAGTCCTGGATCCACCCCTGCAACTTGAAGTTATCACGAGAGTTCATAAGTACCATGACTTTTTTCCATCATTCCAACAACTTAGCCAAATGGTGAAACTTTTAGAGCTTGTTGTGCTGTTAAGTTAGGCCTATCAGTGCTTTGCAGTTGTTAAACCAAGTAATTTTTTTTCACAAATCATGTCAAGTCATAAGTCAAATTTTCACAAGTCAACTTAAGTCACAAGTCAATTTTTCCAAGTCAAGTCAAGTCACAAGTCAGGATTTTTTTTTCCAAGTCAAGACACAAGTCTCAAGTCAATTTTGTCAAGTCCTTCTTAACATACTACACATGTCCTTCATAATTCATATGACACATGTACCCTTTCTCTGACATCTTTTATTGATAAGGAAAAGTTTGCAATATATGAATACAAGTTGTGCCTAATTGATGTCAGCTCGCAACATGTACATCAGATCCTTGGCTTTCTGTTAAGAATTGTGCATACGTCCGAAAAGTTTTGTTTAGTTTAACAAAAGTGTTTAACAAAAGTGTTAATGTCAGCAAATCAAATTTATTCAAGTCAAGTCAAGTCACAAGTCATTCTATTTCCATGTCAAGTCTCAAAGAAAAATAATACATGTAGCGACTCAAGTCGGACTCAACTCGAGTCAACAACACTGCTGCTTTGTCAGTACAGTAGTACAGATATTCATTCATTTGTATTCAAACATCCTTAGAAAATTGGATTACTCTAGAAAAGTTTGTTAATGATAATATATGTATCTTATCAGAGTTTTGATTAGTTGGCTTACTTAAGTCCTTTTTTTATTGCAATTTTTTTTTACAAAGCAATTTTCAAGATCCTGTTTGAGACCAGGATTGGCTGCCTAGACAAGCAGATCCCAGCTGAGTCACAACGATTTATCGACTCCATCCATCAGATGTTCATCTCCGGTCAGATCCTCTTTGTCACGTCACCGGAGTTCTTCAGGAAGTACAACCTCAAACCATGGAGGGACCACGAAGCAGCATGGGACTACATCTTCAGTTTTGGTAAGGGGTCTATTCAGACAACTCTACCACCGAGCCAAAATTCTGTTAAAATGCAATTTCACAGAGTTTGTATTATTTCAGAAAAGTTTGATCTTTTTTTTGGGGGGGGGGTTGGCCAAATGATTTGAATCTTGCGTTTCAGTGGCTACTGCTATTCTTTATAAATTATGGTCTGAAGTTCTGAACGAGGTCTACTTTTTATTTGATTTCATGGAATTTTTATACAAAATGTGGTAAGCAGATCTTTCCATAACTAATAAATATGGAATTTCAATCTCACTTTCATAATGCCATACTTTCGGATTGCTTTTAGATGTAGGTCATTTTTCTTTAAACCTCAGTGATTAACCAGCGTTAACGATATCTTGATGAGAGACATAGAGGTCCAGTGTTCATCTTCAACCCAAGCAAGTCTGTAATATCTTTCTCACAGGCTTCTAAAAAGCACTGATACACAGGGTAAAACATGCATTAAACGAAGTACTTGCATTTTTTTCACATCAAATAACAAAAAATGTGAAACTGAAATTAAGAATTTATGAAGAGTTAGAAAGTTCTGCAATGGAAAATACGCTTTGTGACATACTTAATCGTACTTCTGTTTTAACAGTCATAGATAGTCAAAAGTCCATCCACTTTCCCTGCGATGCCTTTTACACAGGCTAGTGACAAACAGTCAGATCATTATTTCAAGCAAGCACTGTGACTAGTCAAATTCAGTCAACAGATGAAAGCAGGAAACTGGTGGACGTAGCTGTCTTATCAATCACCTACAGTCAACACACAGGTGTATCAAGTTACAGTGACAGCCAGTCAGTCCTGCTTTGTGCAGCCTGGGAGCTCTCAATTCGTGAAAACAGTCACTTGATTGAATTTGACTGCAAGGACAACAAGGAGGGTTAATGAAGTCAATTTGCAGTCAACCTGGAGCTTTGTGCGAATCCTTGAATTTTTTTTTAACAAAAAAAATTACAGCCAGGAAGGCAGTGGACAACAGACTGGCTGAGATATCTGCCCAGTCTGAGGGTGAAGGCGAACTGGAAGCTGACGGATTCCTGACCTACTTGCTGTCAAGCAAGCAACTCAGCATGAAGGAGATATACAGCAATGCCTGTGAATTGCTCCTGGCTGGAGTTGACACTGTAAGTCTACCCGATCTTTTAAAGTTCACAATTTTTGGTAAACTTGTTTTTATTTTCAGCATGGCAAAGTGATATTTCAATACCTTCATTTGTGATCGCCTTTGCTTCAGATTTTAATTACATGTCTTTAGTGTCTGTGATTTTCAGAGAGGCATCAGAACAGCTAGGTTTAATATCTAAAAAAAAAGGTGATCTTTTAAAGCTCACAATTTTGAGTAATTTCTTTTTAGTTTTAGCAGTTGGTAAGCAATGGCAAAGTGATATTTTAATGTTTTTTTGTGATTGATTTTACTTCAAATTTTAATTACATGAACTTAGTGTCTGTGATTTTCAGAGAGGCGCCAGAATAACTAGGTTTAGTATTTCGGAGATTTACAGTCAAAAAGCATTCCATTAGCCACAGTGTCAAATTTTGCCCCTCCAAAATAAGGAGTTAAATCTTATAAAAATTCCACTAAGTAAATGAATATATAAAAGGTAACTGGATCCCTCTCTACACAGTTTAGTGCTTTAATTTTAAAGCAGCCCAAATGACTGTCCTTCAAAATATTAACACCTCAAAAGGAAAACTACATTAGTGAACGACAACCAATGTTGGGTAGCATAAAGAAATGGACTGGAGTGGAATGTGAACCTATGGCCATCAGAACATAGTAACAGAGGTTTCAGCTGCTGCAGGTTCAAACCCATTCCAGTCAATTTTGTTTGTTCACCCTGTTTTGTTTGAAAGTGAGTGAGGGAGCTAATAATTAATTTTTCTATTTTTTTCCTCAAATAATCATCAAACGAAAACAAAAATAGATTGTCATAAGAGGCATAGAACAGAAGAGACATACTATTTTCTAAAAAAAATGAAATAATAAAAACCAGCAGTTCATCCAATTACTTCAAGCGACAACAATTTTTAAGGGGAGCAGCACTATTTAAGTTACTAGAAATGGGGAAAATGGCCCATTCTGATTTCGTGGGAGAGTTTAAGACGTACAACTGTATTTTCTCTTTGGGAATGACCTGTCGTGCAGATGTTTTCTGTTACTTGGCTGGCGTGATTGCTGGACGCAAACTGACTTGACCACACGGCTATTACACAAACACTCCATAAAATCTAAACAAAATATTGAAAGGACACCCTGCCTTCTTCGATAAAAGCGCCAACACAGCCTGACAAGCCCTGCGCTAGAGGGGGTTGTTATAATTTTTTCCCACTAAAAATTTGTTAGCGGCCGAAGTGTCACGTTTTTTCTTATGACCACAGGGAAGTGTCAAAGCTGGCCTGGAAAAATACCCCAATAGCTGGCAGAATTTTGGGGTCACAAACATGGGTGACATCTGACAGTTCGTGTTTTAACAGTGGTGGTGCTTTTAAACATGTGTTCTCAGGCCAATTTGGGTTCTGGATAGAGTAAGGTCATTCAATCAGGCTGGACAGTGAAGAATATTTAACGTCTGATAAAAAGTGAAATGCCCTTGGAAACTGGTATCAACTGTGTACACATGTAAACTCAAGAAGTACAAAATAAGGTTAAAATTCTCGAGGGGAACAAATTGCATATTAAGTGGAAAGTCACAGATTTGAATACTAGATTAAAAATCAATATTCCGTGTGAGCGACGTCCTAATTTGAACCAAAATGTAAATACGGGCCTAGCATAGTTTGCCCTGCCGTTGCCCTGGTTACTGGGAAGTTCCAGCCTGGAACATGGCCCTGCTGTAATCACACAGGCCCTCCTGTGCCAAAAACAACAGGTGGGAGTTTTATTACTGAAAGGTGCCGACGGTAATTCATCCCTGGGGCCACTTTGAAAACCCTTGGGGGAGAACTAGTGCCAGCTACAGCATGTACACATTTTGACAGGAAACAGGCCAGGGCTACCCATTGATATGAACATGATCCTTATGATTTAGTTCACCTACAAGCCAGAGATTAGGTTGGGAGGGGTGACAAGTGTCAGCCATTAACTAACACCTGTCGGTGATGTATTTTTGTGAGGAAGGAGAAATTACTAGGAATCAAATCAAATTATGTATTTATGTAAACTTTGTAAGGGCCTCACTACCTCCTCCCCCCCCCCCACCCCACCTTCCCAATCCTTACTTAAGATTCTTAAAGTCCTGGCTTCGACTGCGTTCCCAATTTAGGTGCTTTCTATTTTTTTTTACCCTTTTTCTTCAAACAAAATGACACAAATTGCAAAATCAGTGACAAGACACATGTAAACAAGTTGAGTTCCCATAAATAGACTAAATAGTATGCATAATTCAATATCATACATAACTCCGACAAAATTTAAAGGGAATATACAACATTTGCAAACATCAAAAAATAAAATTACCAAGATTTTACGAAATACTTTACTAGGATGTTGATAAATGACAGTGGAAAGCATCCTGTAAAATTATGGCACCTGGTGTGAAGTAATTTTAAAGAAAACAGTATTTTTGTATCAATTTCCAACGGTGGTCGGCCGACCACCGTTGGAAAAACCTGACTATTTTTCAACTACTGATCCAAATTTACAATTTTTTCAGTCGAAATTGCTATTGGTTGCATGTTTATGAATGGGTGCAGGTAGGCTAGACTGGTTCCCTTACCTTACAATTTTCCGGCATCTATAAATATTGATCTATTTCATCTTGAGTGGAGTCAAGGAACCAGACTTTGGTTTTTCTTGGTTTTCCCAGCATTTTCGAACACAAAACTTCAAACAAGTTAGTGTAACAATATTTGATCTATTATACTAACCCCTCAAATAGTTCATTTCTAAAAATTACAGCAAAAGCCAATGATGTACATTCCCTTTAAGATAGCAAAATAAAAATATCTAACACTCCACAAACACCCCGAATTTCAAAAATGTTGTCTAGTCTGCCGTCAATTGTCAAATCTAGCATATTGGCAGATAACAGCTGCACGGACCAAGGTTCGATCGGATCCAATCCCAGACCAGAGGCAACTCGATAGATGTGGTTAGACTAGTGTTTGTTCCAAGCAACAGACTTATGTTTCAAAGCTGTCTCATTTGGTGCCTAATTTCCTATAATACTTCAAGTCTTCAAACAGAAATTCTGAAACAAGTATGAGTGTTAAGGGTTTCGGTAAAGCTGCAGGTCGTGGGTTCGAGTCCTGGTGGGGTCATGGTGCGTGTGCCCTTGAACAAGGCACTTTGTCACTCATTGCTTCTCTCCACCCAGGAGTAAATGGGTACCTGTGAGGGCAGAGATGGTTATTGTGATTGAATTAGCTTCCTTGCGCCTAACAGGCAGCATCGAGCTCTATACTCCCCAGGGAGCTGATATGGTATATGGGATGTTTAATTGGCCCAATGATTAGGGGTAATAATAATGTAAAGCGCTTTGATCTTAGTTAAAAACGCTATATAAGAACCTGTTATTATTATAAAATGTAAACTCTGCAGTTTTTTCCCTACATTTTCTGTGTCCTTCCCACAGACCTCCAACACTCTGGCCTGGGTGTTGTATGAGCTGTCCAGGCATCCTGAGGTCGAAGAGCGGTTACACCAGGAGGTGTGCCAAGTCCTGGGCTCAGACAAGACAAGGAAGGCGAACACAGAGGACTTGGCTCAAATGCCCTACCTCAAGAGCATCATCAAGGAAATACTCAGGTCAGTACCGAGAGAGAAGTGGAAATCAGGTCCAGTCCAAATTCTCTGTGGTCAAGACTTTAGCATTCAACCCTATCCAACTCGACCCTTCCCAAAAAACCCTCAGAATTGAGGTCATTTAATTCCCTGTACATAAAAGTCCTGCGGAAGATTGGGGAAGTGTGTTGAACCTCCACCCACGCCAGCCTTTCCTCTTCTGGCCAGCAAAGAAAAGCCACTTGATCATCCATCAATCTAGATTTCCAAATTTGCCCTTTTAACTAAAACCTGTATCCACCCCATCTTACAGTAACCATTGCATACTGCTAAATCCTGTTTTCAAGTTGACTGGGGGAGCTAGCTTACAAGGCTCCCCTGCTCATGGCCTGTGTCCCCTTGTAGCCCCAGTCTCCTTAGAATTGAGAAAAATGAGCTTGTTGAACCACTATGGGCGAGCTACGTGTAGGTCACTGCCAACTCCCCGGAAAATTAGGAAGTGTTCTCTTTAACCAGTTTGCGTTGGAGGACATGATAGCACACACTAGCACTGGCTGTTTTTATACACAGGCATGGCTGAGGGGTTAAATCTTCATGATTGCCTCGACTCGACTCCGGGTAATGTCTAAACAGGCTAATCCCTCGTGCCTTTTGTACACACACACAAAGTCCGTGAAGTCTGTGGAGGCGGACCGTGTGTTGATCTTGAATTGGCCATTGTGCACGGCCAATTCTGCAATTTACGCTCCAGTGCGCACCCCAGAGTATTGAAACATATGAGATTTCAACAAGAGATATCATACAAATACTGTTGAAATGACTCTTGCGAATTACTATTTGTGGTGTTTGGCTGTATATCAAAAGTTGGCTGGGAAATTTTGCCTTTTGCAACAATCAAAATGTTCGGAAAAATAAACCCGGCGTGAAGTGTTGAAATTGGGCCAAGCTTACGCTACTGTCTGAGTGAATTCTATGACCTCATTTTAGATACTTTTCTTCTGATTGTGATTCAGATTGTACCCCGTCGTTCCTGCCAATAATCGCATTTTGGAGAAGGACATCGTCATTGGAGGTTATCACATCCCCAAGAAGGTACAAACCTTTAAAATCAGAATTTCAGGATTTTAAGACAAAAAACACTACATCAGACTTACACGTGAACAACAGTGACTGGTATTCAAACTAGCATAATAACACTTTTCTTGCGATGAAAGACTTTTTCACCACGTATGGTTGAAGAGCTATACTTCACTGCATTATCAAAAAAAAATTCAAATAAGTTAAGTTAGTAGGTTCAAATTCCTGTCAAAAGTGGGTTTCCTTCTTTTTGCACCACCCTGCATGTGCCTGGTAAAGCTGTTAACCAATACCTTGGCATTTGACTTACATGTATTAGAGCAATGGTGCACTTAATATGACCAAGGAGAACACATGGCCTCTTGTTATCCATATGTTCATAAGGTGGAATTTTTTGTGTCCGGGGAGATGCAAATCAAATTAGGTTTTGCCCTTCACTGACGTACAAACACTGTATACTCAGTGTGTTACCTCCCGAGTGAAAGTTGGAAAAAAATCCCACCAGTTTATGTGGTACCTGCTGCTATGTACATCAGATTCGAACCAGCCAATAAATCCCGTTAGCTCGGTTGTCGAGTGGTAATTAAGACGTCTGCACTAGAAAGCAGGAGGTCGTGGGTTCGAGTCCCACCCGAGTGATTTTTTCCAACTTTCACTCTGGAGGTAACACACTGAGTATACAGTGTTTATACGTCTCGGTGAAGGGCAAAACCGAACTTGATATCCATATGTTGTTCAGATTTTCTTCATGAAAAAATATAAAGTTCTTAACCATCCGGGCTGTATAAATCTTGAAGAAAAATTTTCACTTAGAGATAATTAAGGACCATAGCTATATCATATCTTTATCAAGTAGTAATTTGACTGACCTGAATTTTTCGCTCGAAGGGATTTTGAACTTATTTTCAACATTATATTCAACTTACTTTGTATTTTTCCCCCTTTAATCCAATTGACTTCATTAAGCCTTTTTTATTTTCTTCAAAAACATATTCAAGGCATTCCATTCAACCAATGTACTTGTGTACACTGCAGAAACCTCTTGAAGTTACAGGGAATGATGCACTATTTCAATTGTGGTAACTGGTGTTTTGTCAAGAAACACTATTTTGTTAGAAAGGGATCTTTGATAAGAAAGTAAAGTTCGTACCTGGAAGTTACAATTCAAATGCAAAGGTTAGTTATATGAAAACGTTAATGTTCGCCCAGTTGACATTATTGATTTGTAAATGGTTTATTTGTGTGGCTTGTTTGTCTAAAAGTGGACTTCTAAATGTATGTTCAAGAACCAAAAATCAAAAGGAAATCACAAAAAGATTAAGTTAATTTTACTCCTCATTCAAGTCATGCCAAATCACTGAGAGTGTACCAACAAATTAGTCTCATAAGTCAACTATTTGTGACTTTTCCTTGTTGTGTAATTGCATTGTTTCCTCTTCTTCAAATTGACAGACAATCATCGGTTCCCTGCAGTATGTGATTGGCAGGGACCCCAAGGTGTTCGAGGAGCCCAACTCCTTCAGACCCGAGCGTTGGTTGAGGGACAACTCTGGTCGCATGCACTGCTCCAATTCCAGCTTCGCCTCGGTGCCTTTCGGCTTCGGTCCCAGGATGTGTATCGGGCGGAGAATTGCCGAACTGGAGCTGAACTTGGCCCTGGCTAAGGTGAGGGGAAAGAGCAAACTGTTGCTTGGGAAACTTGATAGATTAGATTAAGGGATCCGTAGAGGTATAATGAAAACATCTGCGCTAATCATCCCGTCCTTGACTGAGTGGTTCTTCTTTGAAGTTGAACACAATTTGTTATGAGTCCCAAGTGCATGTTTTCAGATTGGGTCATGTAAAGTAGGCCTTCTTCTACTGCACTGCTCAGGTGTGCACTTTCAGGGTACAGGAGAAGGTGACCCTTGTGCTCCTAAGTGCTTTTGTAACCCTTGACTTTGAGTGTCTTTTAGCCTTCTAATGATGAAATTTGAAGTTATCAGATCCTCACAATCCGTAAACTTAATCTTATAGTCTTATAATGGACACTGCCATAAAAAAAAGAAGTAGAAGTAATTGATTTCACTATGTTACAGACAACACAGTTTGCAATGTGACTAGAGATATGATTGAATAGAGAGAGTAATAGAATCTACATTTCACTTGCTATGGAGCCTTACTATGTGACGGTTGGGAGATTTAACCCATTTGCACTTGTATTACATTGTATCTACTCCTTGTTAAATCCATAAAACCATAGAGTGCTGGGGCAGTTTTGGTCTGAATAAGGAATGACAGGCAGAGTGCTTTGGGGCAGTACATGGACTTAAGACAAATAAGAACCTAAAATCACATTCCATTTGTAAAAATGTTGAAATGTTGGCGCAGCATTTGGCAGCAGTTTGTTTAAGTTACAAAGTTTTAGAAGTTAATGGCTATCAAGGAGAAATTGCATCTTGTGTCTCGTGCAAACAGTAAGCAAAGTTGTGACATCGCATTTTCATACAAGTCAATCACAAAATCAACCACCACACCTCTAATTGACAAGTAAGCTGTTCCAATGACTTTGACAAAAGCGTTTGATTATTATCATCGCCTCTTTTGTTTCCTTACTCGCAATTTGACTTTATTATAGTCGTGGATGTGACTTCAACTCAATTTGTCAAATTTTGCTTGAAATGTTCTATTCATTTGTAACTTAATGCAATCTTTTTCAGATCTCACAGACGTTCAAGTTGGAGTACCTTGGAGAGGGCACCGTTGCCCCTACAGTTCAGGGATTGCTCGTCCCTGGGGGACCAGTCAAGGTCGGCTTCACAGACAGATGATGTGATGGGCGGAAACCAACTGATTAGATTGATCAATGTCTAGGTCAAGTGATTGCTCACAAGTGGCATATTAAATGTGTCTGGATAAGTCCAGCCTTTAAAATGGCAACATTGGTGGATTTTAGTTTTGAGATGCAAACAAGTAACTCCAGTCACAGTTCAATTACAAATAAACAGTAAACAATTAACAGGGTATGACAAATGGTAAAGGAAGACCTTTGCTAAACAGCTTTTCACATGTTGTAAGCCTGAAAGGCTTGTGATTCACTTGTGATGACTTCTGAAAACTTGTGATGACTTACGATAACTTGTGATGACTAACGATAACTTATGATAACCTGATTACAACTCTTGATTTAGTTTGTATCTACATACTGTTCCTAGGAAATAAATAAAAGAAATAGACAGTTTTCAGGGAAATACGTCAAAGAAACGTCTGAAAAAAAGAAAGAAACTCTCCACAAATTTCACGAGGTTTATTTGCACATTGTGTGTGCATACAATCGAGGAATGCAAGACCCTCTTTGTTGGGTTTTCTTTTTATCAAAGTCTCTTTTTTATTCTTCCAACCATAAATTGTAAATGTCGCACGTTTGAGGGAGGGTCAGAGGTGGACCAAGGGTACAGTACCTGCAGAGTGAAACTCAAATGGAGCATAAGGAACATTTTTGCTGTTGCCTCCCAGACATTGTAATTGATGGGTTTGGCTCCACAAGGGAGCTTTTAAATGTAACTCTACCCACATGTGTTGAATGTTTAGTTGAGGGTTGATTGAGAACAGACTGACGTGTCAGTCCTGACTAAGATTTATTTTTCTAGCCTTCCTCTTTTCCTGCAACAAGATAGCAAGACTAAATCTTAGGTACCTCAGTGTTCCCCCTCCCCCAGTTTCCAAGGGCTTACTTTAGGCCTTGATTTGAGACGACAAACAAATCAAGCGCAAATTACTTGTGATGGAATTTGTATCAAGGAGATAATGTTCATGATGGGATTTGCTCTTTATGTTCAATGCTTTGGTGGAGGCCAGCAGGCGGGCCAATTTCACGGTGCTGCCAAACACAAAAATTTGCTTAGCACAAAAAAGTATGGCTTATAAAAGCAGGTTATCAGCCAAAACTCCACGTGATGTATATTGCTTGTGATTAGTATTCAGCTGTTGTTTGCTTAGCATGAAAATCACATGGAGTTTTGGCTGGTAACCTGCTTTTATAAGCCAGACTTTTTGGTGCTAAGCAAATGTTTGTGCTTAGCAGCACCGTGAAATTGGCCCCCAGCTGGTTGTAATATTAAAGTTGCATTTCCTTTGCTCTTCAATAATTTTGAATATTTTTTTTTCTATTAATAAGTTTTCAACTTGTATGTTTTATTCCAACCAAAAGCCGCCTTCTTCCCTTTTTTTTTATGTCTGTAACCCTCCAGGAAAAGCAGGTTTTTTTCTTTTGAGCACAAACAGATCAGCTTTGTCAGCAGACTGGCTCCTGTTCCATACATTATCGATACTGATTGTGGGGCGGGAACCAGCCTACCCCAGGAGGACAGAATTATTGTCTGACAGCCAATGATTTGAAATTGTGAAGTGGTAATTCAGTAAGTAAACATTGGCCGATTTTTACGGTCAATGGCTCGTAAAGTGAATAACTTGTGTGTTGCTAGAAAAATAGCAATTTAGAAAAGGAATCAATTTTTCGGGATGAAAGTCAAAAATATCACAGGGAACGCAATTTACAACGGTGCGTTAGAAACAAGAGTCAGCATCCTTTGGTTGGGGGAGAGGGGACAAGGCACTCTTGCTTCCCAACCCTGCTGGATCCGCCAGTGTTATATTTATCCCCAAAATATAAATGTTATTGTTACAAAATGTTGTAATGCAGTAAGATTGAAGTTTAAAAAGTCTTAACTGCCAAAATTGTCTGTTTTGTGATCAGTTTAGATTTAACTCATGATTCAATTGCCAAGCTCAAACCAAATATCCTGTAAATACTCAAGGTTTTTCTTGTTTATGCCAAATTATTTAATGGACTATATTTTCCTACTTTTGTTATGTTTTCTTTTACTTAACCAGTGACATCTATTTGTATAGCATTCTTATTTATTATCTCGATAGTTATGTATTCTTTTGATTTGTAAAAACTTATAAACTCGTTTGTTTCGAGTTATTCATTTTGAATGACTGTTAACATGTTGGAGAGTGTAGAAAAAAAGAAGTCAGATTTACTGTTTGAGGTTTTTGAGGAATTTCAAGATTTCAAAATCTTGAAAGCCTTTCAGTTGCAAAGTGGATTGCTAAATGGACTGAAAAAAGTCTAAAACAGTTGTATGATCCAGATTCAGCTTAAAGGTAAATGCACATTTTATGCACAACAAATTTTCATTCCCAAATGTCAACAGAGGGCGCTAATTATGTTGCTGTTAGGCCGCAACAACCCGATAATGAAACTTCACAATGGTCAAGTGTGACAAGCTGTATATTTTTAGTGTCTATCTGTTGTATACGCCTCACAATACTCTTGTCAAAACAAATCGGAGAAAAAATATTCCTACGCTTCTGAGAGCTGGTCCATGTTAATCCTCAACCAAGCTGCGATGTCGTCTTTCTGATGTGCAAGCTTGTTCTAGAATATTGTTCCTATCACCTACGTCATGTATAAATACTCCTGTTATTTTTTAAATGTAACCGATATTTCTTCCTTGCTCTTGAAAATTAGATGAAAATAATGTCACTAACATCTCATTTTGAACTTGGTTATATTTTAGTCCAGTCTTACATCGAGTGCCAGTCAATTACAGTTTAAAAGTTAAGTTTGTAGTCCACAGGTCTAAAATTAGACTTCAGTGTTGACTTTGTCGCGGTTTGATCCTAGACTCCAATATACTTTCCAAAGTCTTTGCAGATGCATGCCGACTGTCCAAGACCATAATAAAACCTTAAAACAACTCAGGAATGCATTCTATATCTACATTAATTTTTGTCACGCGAACAAGTCAAGTGTTATACAAAAGTCAACAAACTGTTCACTTTTTAAAACTTTTGACCTTAAAAGTTAAAAAGTTGGAATGTTACACCGAGTTCTGGTTGTTTCTAGTTATGTACAGTTTTGTTTTATAAAAAAAAGTTATGAAGTTCATATTTGTTGTACTGAATAAAAAGTTTTGCATTTGTACGAGAACACTAAAAAGAAGTGCATGAGATAAACTGTTGTTATAATTTGATAATCTACATAAAATCCTTTATTCAGCTCCACAACACATTTCATACAAACCCATGACTGATTCAGTAAAATCTGTAATTTCTGTTCATAATTTCATTCACGTAATGTTTAGCCAGCTTCTACTCCATAACGTCTCTTAAAGGTTTTCTGCAAGTGTGTAATTTCTCTAACGAATACCAGTTCTTAAGCATCTATCCGCTGTAACTCCCACTCCTACAGTATCAAAAAGCCTCAAGTTTAGCTGATGTAGCAAAAGAAAGTTTGTACATAAATGTTAAAAGTAAAGACATGATAATGCAAGAATACAAGTCAAAGCCTAAAAAATAGTAAAACTGATACATCAATAGTTCATTAGTATGCCGTCTATAATAACAAGCGCATGACTACAACCCTAATTAAGCGCAAGTAGAGACCTACACCTCCTGCTAGATTATAAAGGGAATATTATTTCCCTTCAAATTACCATTTTATAAAGACATTTTTCTAAAAAGAATCACCACAAATATCCCCAAAGCAAACTCAGAATATTTAATTTGCTACATTTACCTGATAAATATGAAAATTTAAATAAGACAATTCCATGCAAAGTGTTTCTTTTTAGAAGCAATGTTCAAGCAAACCAATATAATGCCACTGCACATTTCTGAGATTGAAAAAAAAAAATGCCAAATTGAAAAGAAAAATTCTTGTGAATAGAAAACAGCTTCCTCAAAAAAAAAAGGCCTGGTAAAATGCTGGGCAGAATCAAATATTAAAGACACACACAACTACTATGACGTTGCTTAACTGTCTATGGTGATGCATTATTTCCTAAATATTCTTTAAAAAAAACCCACCTAATTAGCTGTTTTGGAAAGATTTCCATATACGGAGTTCACTCAACACCCTGTGTACAAACCCTATGAGATTGGACTGAAAAATTCTAAGTGTTTTCTAAGAAAATGCTTGTATTTTCTCACTGCTCAAATTGACTTTGATGACATGAAATTGCTATCTGGGGGCTTGTTAGTCAATACAGAGGAAAATTAGTGAACTTCGTATATGGAAATCTTTCCGCTGTTTTTCTCGAAGTGTCATTAAGAAAGGATTATAATCATACATGTACCATTATATTCCTATGGCCTAGACCCTACTGACGTTCAGCCATCTTACATGCAGCGATTTATTCATTATAGTTAAAGTAAAGCCTAGGTAGTTACAATGACATTCACATGAAACACACAGCCAACTTCTACATTTTTGCATATCAGTTATTGTTTTAGACATTTTCATAATCCTCGATCAGATATTGACAGAATGTACATGTACAACGTTTCCTGAAAAAGTTGAACTTTGATCTGTAAATTTTCAATGAAAGTTTTACTTTTCCTACTGGCGTTTTTTAATTAAGAATCCCATTCAATCATGCATTGTGTTGATCAGAAAAAAAAGATCAGTTGATGAGACAGAATTTTAGGTTACATTTGTCAACAATTTCCACAGTATTATCTCCCAAACCGTATTTCCGACCGAAACACCAAACCTAGGAAAATAGGCTCTCCAGACTTTAGTAACTACATTTTCCACACCGAGGAATCTGTACTGAATGACACGATAACATTTCAACATGAACGACTCGAATCATGTACATTTATATATTTTGGAAGTTACGTAATTTCATTCCAACCGTGACATTCCCCACATGCTCAAATCTGGGCTTAAAGGCACAGTCCATCATTTGTAATTTGTGCATTTTTGTTCGTTTGAAGCAACAAACATGCTCAAAATCTAAAGAAGGGTGCTGAACAACTAACCTGATGAAGTTTTAGCTCAGCTTCAGCTGTATATTTTGAGATGAACAACATTCTAGGATCTTGATTTCAAATCAAAAGTTGCCGAGTCGTGTTTTGAATTGGGTCTGAATTCAGTGTCCGAGACATGTTCTCACTGAGCTGATTGCAGCTACGCAATGTCGCGCACTGATCTGACGAATTAAAGCAAGTGTGTGCGTCGTGTCAACGCTTGCGCGCGCTTCCCCGAATAAGAAAACGAACTACTAATGCCTTCTTTGGTTGGACTTCTTCAAAATGACAGCTTGCCAGAAAGAATAATTTCACTGGGAGTTTATTCCCCTTACTATCTTTCAACGAGTATGTTTTTCAACACTAATTATGTCAGTTACTTTTTGGATAGCTGCAAATGATGGACTGTAGCTTTAACTCTGTGGTATCGTGAAGCAGTCTCTTTTGTCTTGTTTTTGTCTGTTTTTTTTTAGTTTCAAAGGGACAAACTTGGTTCATATTTTGGAAACCACGAGTAGTGGGGCATGAATACTTACGCAAAATAGAGATCTACATGCAAAAACATGGTTATTAATGTCGTGAAACATGCTGATGAAGACAGCATTCATCAAGACCATGAAATTCAGCCGGGCATCTGGTGTAGTGGACGGTGGTGTATCCAGTAGGAGGGCAAAACCGCAATTCTTGTGATACATAATATACAATTATTGACTGCGGACATGTTTTGTACACCACGTTGAGAGACGTACATTGTATAGCACTCAAGGCGAAGTGGGTAAAAAAACACATGTCCCACATCACAGCAGTCAACAATTGTTTTGTTATATCGTGCCAATATGTCAAAAAGAAAAACTTTTTAACCTACTATGCAAGAAATATTTCACACATGTAAAATCACGGTTGGTACATGTATGCAGTATAACCTTTTTGAATACGGTGAGATTTCCAGCCAGCTACGAGATTGAGAGATCGCAGTTATCCATTGTGAGGCACAAAGGCACCCTTCACACGTAGTAAGGTAGTGTATACGAGATAACTTGTATGCAATGCAGTGTATGTGATAATCATTATGCAACGCAGTGTATTTGAAGTAAAGTCATTTTTACAGACTGGACACACGTGGCAGTTCTGGATCAATAAAATTATGGTATCCAAGACACGGTATCGCAACCAAATTTTACTCCTTCCCCCAACCCAACAAATTCCTTGATGTACCACTGTGTGATTACCTTTTGATTTCATTTTACTTGTTTGGCCAAACTGAATTGATCAAGTTAAAAACAAATTGGCTCTGAAATGATTTTCTCATACCAAGATTGTCTTTTTAGACTAAGCCTGATCTGGGAACACTATCTTACAAATGTAATGAGAAATAATGTTATTAAGAATATATCTGTTATTGGTCATTTAATTTTTTACATTTTCACGCTCTAATGGTGCCCCTGGCTTTCTGTAATTAGCAAAAGGCATCTGTTCATTTCTTTGGTTAATCTGTTTGCGTGTAGTGGGAGCAGCAAGGAGACACTGTAACTGGTATCCTGTCCACCAACATGACCTGGTTCCCTGCATCAATTCCCGGCAATGTAGAAGCGGTAGAGGAGCGCTACCCCGAGAGCAACGATAGTCGGAATGATCCACTGGGCCCAATTACTGCGAGAGAGAATATAAAAAAACCAGAAACTTTAAACTTCAGTGAAACTTTTCTTGGAGGGGTGCCCACTGCTTCAATCCTGCAAAAAAACCCAACAATCACTGTCAATAAGTTAAGACAGAGCCAGTGTCATCCTGGAGCAGTCAGAGGATTTCAAGTATAATCTTGGCCTAAATTTATGCAAGGCTGAGCATAAACAACACCAGATCTGGCCAAAGACCTTGACACAAGTGCCTTCTCCAAAATCAGCCACATGCTTTTGCCATACATGTACATGTATAGCGTCAATCCTGCAAAATCCTAAATTTTTCAGAGGATTTTGGAGGATTTGGGAAGGTTAGGGTTAATAAAGGCATTTACAGTCGAGTAATTGTTTGTTATATCAGAATTGTATTAAGAGGAACATCAGTCCCATTTATTGTGCACATAAATGCACAGTCGGGACCAAGGCTTTATGTTTGTTGTAACCAGAATTTGTATTAACAGAGTTTGTACTAATGAGAGTCGACTGTACATGTTCTCTGTCACTGTTCATTCCCTGTTACTTTTGTACTGACCCGAGACTTAACTTGTGACTGACTTGCGATCGCCTTGTGACTGAGTGATTACAATTAATGATTGATTACAACTCTTTGTGTTCAATAGCTAATGGCTGTGGCTCTTGGATGCATTTACCATTGGTTTCACCAATAGTCAGATGAATTACCATCGGTTTGACTGATACATTGGCCTGAAAATACGACTTGAAATTGAAAAGGTTTGACGATACACATTTCCGCACATAGTGTTAATGCATAGAGGTTCCCTGTGTCCATTGACTGTTCATTGACCTAGCCCAGTTTGTTAGTATGCTGCCCTCAAGAGTATGACCAATTATTACGAGCCAACGGCACAATCCACAAACTGGCTAATATTTATTTCATTAAAGTGGGGAAGGGGAATGAAGCAATGGACAACTTCACGACCATTATTTCATAAGGTTATCTTGGTCGGACAAAATAGGAATAACTGCACACATGGACAAGAATGGGAAGAAACAAATCTATTAAACAGCAATTTTGAGACAAAATAGACACAACAGGAGAGTGCTTATCTGAGTGGGTAAATTCGTTTAAATACAGTGTTTTTTAATCCACTCCAAACAGAAGTAAGCACTCTTCCATTGTGTCTGTCCACCATACAAACAAAGGCCAATTTGGGCATTGGTGACTTAATATGACATCTGCTATGTTTCATGCAATGAATCTGGGAAATAAAAGTAAATGGGCAAGTTTTCTTCACATATTTGGAGCATAAAGAACTGAAACCATGCAGTCAAACACCTCCGAGTTGTTATTCTTCCCTTGAATTTTGTGTCAAAAATTCATTCAATTAAATGGTCTCAATTATCTTTTTCTCAATGACAAACTTTATCTTTGAATAAAATTGTTCAGGTTTGTTTCAATCTTTCCCCAAGGGTCTTAGTGGCAACTTAAATCACACAGACTGGTGCCTGCATCGTAGTCACCAGATTCATGGTAATGATGACTAAGGTTTCAGGGAACTAAATAGAGGGGACAGCGGTAAGCACGGCCTTAAAAACACTTTGGCCGTGGAATTAAGATTCAGTTTTTATGCCATCGGCCATCACACTGCACATCAGTTTGCAGGTTGTATTTAGGCCAAAAAAAAATAATAAAAAATATTTCTGCTTCCGATTACATGGCATTTGAAAATAGGGAAGTAGGTAGGGAAATATTTTTGTTGCCATTTTTTTGTGTACGATCATATGGAGGCGTCTGCGGGTAGTCAAGGGTAAAAGGTAGAAATTGATGGTTTTGGGTGTTTTTCCTCATTTTTCCAATAAAAAAATTAGGGTAGGGGCTGTCAGAATAGGGTAGGTAGGGAAACCGGAAGCAGAACTACTATTTTTTGGCCTTAATAGTTAGTTCAACCACTATTTAATAGTTAGTTCAACCAATAGTTAGCTCAACCACTTTGAAAGGTTCACATTGATATCAGGATTAATAGAGCAAAACAAATAAGTAAATACAAAAACTGCGGTCGGAAATAATGGCAAAAGCAGATGCATTACGGTACTTGCGAGCACTATTCTACGGACAGGTCTGGAAACTAAACTCAAACGAAAAAATACACTTGTATTTAAGACTCGGTAAACAACAAACTGACTTATAACACTGTTCACATACATTATCAGAACTCATTGAGTAAACATATTTTCACTGAAAAATACTATGTACAGTGAAACGCTGCTTATACCGAAAATAACAGTAAACCGAACATTCGGCTATACCAAACATCGTACTTGGCTCCCGATCTTGTGTACAACATGTACCGATATAAATCGCTATACCGAACGAATGCAATTACGAACAATTTCCGTGGATCCCGCTATGTTCGTTATGACAGCGTTCCACTGTACATCTGTACAGAGTAAATTGGGAACATTTTGTTTGGGGGTGGGGAAGTTGGAGTGGGGGGCGGGACTCATGGAGTATGGTTTGGTGGAGAAAACAAAGTACAGAGACTGGATGCTGTTTGTGGATAAAATTGAAGGCAGAATTTCTCAAAGTAACACGTAAATCAAATCAGTCCATTGTAGGCAAAGTTTTCTCAGTATGCCATTAATGCCATTGTTGAAGAAATTACAAAAGATTCTAAGGTAGGACAACTTCAACAGAACATTTCAACAAAGACAACAGCAAGAACGAAAAAAGAACAAAACTGAAAAACAAAAAAAATCATTTAAGGACGGACTCACATGAGGTATCCCTGTGCGACCTGGACTGAGACTAAGACAGAGCACAGCGACTGGCACAAAAAATAAAAGTCAAAAATATAACGAGGAGTCAAAATTTGGGAAACTCGGATGTAAGAGAGGAAGAGTTAGTGTGTTAGAATAGCAGCATGAGGCGTTAATGATCTCAAAGGTTAGCGTATGGAGAGTTGGACCCCTGTTAGCCTTTCGCCCAGGCCATCGTGGCTCAGAGGGGCGGAGTTGCGAAGACCCGAAGCGACTGGAGCAAAGATTAAGTCAGCACGCACGAGTGGCAAAGCCACGAGGCCTTTCCCAACTTGATTTTGTTGAATTATTCATAGTTTTTATGCAAATAAGAAGAGTGCTGAAGGTTAACCAATCACAACGCGGATTTTGCCTAGTCGCTTCCGTTTTTAAAAGGGTGAGTAAGGAAAACGTAAGAGCAAATAACTGTAAGTTCAGATGAAAAATAAGTTCATGCACTCAAATAATTTTTTGAAATACTTTTATAAGTAAAATTAAAATAAGATAATGTAAGAACAATTACGCGGTCACGATCTCGCGGAAAACTAGACTCGCATTTTTTGAATTTTGCTACCCTTTTGGGCAAGATTTTAAAGAAAAACATAAGAATTTCTTGACAAGTTAGAAAAGGCCCTCGTGGCTTCGCCACTCGCGTGTGTGGTCTCCGTCTCCATTCGCTTCGCGTTTTCGCCGCTTTGAATGTGGGCAAGTTTCGCCGCTTTGAATGTGGGCAAGTTAAGCCACGATGGCCTTGGTGAAAGGCTAGACTCCTGTATGCACCAGTCCGATATTTAAATTACAGTTTCAATCACCGGAATGCCTATCGCATGTGCATTTTGTAAACTCTCAACAAAACACGTCACTAAAGGTGAGTGCATTGTGGGAAACACTAGAGCACGTTTTGGAGCGTCCAAGTATTAGTGGAAAGCTGCATAAGTGATCACAAAGAGTGGGCAACTCGGATCAATCTATGGGACTTTGTTTTTTCTTCATAAACACTGGGCCCAATTTCACGGCGCTGCTAAGCAAAAAATTTGCCTAGCACAAAAAAAGCCTGGATTAAAAAGCAGATACCAGCCAAAACTCCAAGTGATTTTCATGCTATAGAAAAACAACAGCTGAATACTAATCACGAGCAATATACATCACAGTTTTTACATCACAGTTTTGGCTGGTAACCTGCTTTTACATGTATAAGCCAGACATTTTTTTGTGCTAAGCAAATTTTTGTGCTGAGCAGCGCCGTGAAATTGGCCCCCTGGCCACATCATACAAAAGTTGACCAGGCTAAAACCCGTTTGTGGAGTATATTCTCAAAAACCTACATGTAGGTATTTTCTTTAGCATTTAAAAATTCCTGGCTCCTCTAAATCTATCGATGTGAAGGAACCTAATGCCACATTCATAATTTTAACATCAAGCTTTTGAAATGTAATGGTAGCTTAAAATGGGCTCCAAATTACTAAACCCTGCAAATCCTCTGTGTCTGGGAATGTAACTATACGTAGGTCATGATCAAACCGCCTGAAAAATAACATGGCTAGGAAATAACAGGTCTCTGTTTTGACTGACCCTGCTCCGTAAAATTGCTTTATTCCATCTCTGATGCCAATCATATGATGGATTTCAGTTTCACAGTTATTCTGTCTGTTTAAATCAGGCACACGGAGGATGCCATGTTGAGCATCGAGAAAAGACATGCAGCCTTACATTGTATGGAGGTTCAAAAGTGGACATCTGCTTTAGAATAGCAGAAAAGCAGATGGAACGTTTTGTTAAAATGTACTTTTCTACTTCTGCTACCAGAAAAGCAGGTTTTACTTTTTGCCCTTCACTGGCAGTTCAAAAAGGGACATCTGCTTTTCTGCTACCAGCAAAATACCCTGTAGATTGAACAGACATCTGCTTTTCTGATACCAGCAAGCAGAAAGCCACTTTTGAACCACCATGTCAAAACGTTCAATCTGCATTCTGGTAGCAGAAAAGCAGATGTCCCTTTTTGAACCGCCAGTAAAAGGGCAAACAATAAAACCTGCTGCTTTTCTGGTGGCAGAAAAGTAGAAAAATGCATTTTAGCAAAACGTTCAATCTGCTTTTCTATAGCAAGAAAGCAGATTTCCACTTTTCAGGAAACTGAATACAGCCTTCTGTTGGTCAATTCAAACATATCTATACCTTGACTTTAACATGCAATGGCACAAGTTTTCAACCCAAATTTCAACCATTGTGGTCACTTTTGAATGTGGCAACAGGGATTTTATGTGATTCTATCCTATTACCAAAATCGGACAGTACAAAATTTAAGGGTTGATCACTGATTGACCGGGGCTGGTGGAATGATAATAATGTGCATTTATGAAACACACGTATCCACCAGTGTTGGAGTTCAAGGCGCTACATCATTATTACCCTGCTCATTGGGCCAATGAAACATTCCAAAGACAATCTCAGCTCCCTGGGGACAGGCATGAGAATGAATTTCCATTAAAAAAAACCGGGAACCTTTGCAAAAACAGGAAAAAAGATGTGAAATCGGGCCCCCAAAAAACCAAAACTGGCTCAACACAAATAAAAACGTGGAAATTTGGGCAACAACTCCCCCCCCCCCAGGAATTCCTGTTTAAAAAGGAAGATTCTCATGCCTATCAGGGAGTATACAGCTGGGTGCTGCCTTTTCGGTGCAAAGCAACTAAAACCAGTCACAATAACCAACTCTGCACTCACAGGTCCCCAGACTACGGATATTCTCCAGTCTCCTAGCCCAGCAGTATCATTCGCATTATTGACTCGCAATTAATTTGCGTTACTGTGTGATACAGTATCACTGCAACCAGGGTTGTCTATGAAAGGGTAAAGCTATGAATAGAGGTAGCTTATGTACATACGTACAAAGTATAAGGGGGGGGGGGGGGAGGGTTGCACACGAACTACTGCATCTACAAGCAACCATGCAAACCACAACCTTCCCATTCATAAAAATGAATGCATGTTTGCAAATACATGTATACACAACGGATGTATTCAGCATGTTCAGCCACCAGCAAATTTGTTATTCATTCTATATGCATGCACCCTGCATAAGTTCTTGTCGCAAAGAAATACAAAGCTGCAAGCTCTTCTCAAAGATTGTTAGCTTATAAAACACTCATTAGCATTTCACATAAGTGAAGTGGAACCAAAAGGAGTCTCGTGTGTTCTGTAGTGATTTACATACATGTAGCTTTGTAGTGTAAGTGGTGGTAGTTTTTTTGGTGTTATCACTTTTAATTTTTTTTTTAACCCGATTAATTATATGTGGTAACATGCATGTTTTGGCTGCCATTTTCTTAAAACAGTGATAGCACCCCAAAAAGCTGCCACCGCTGCAATGCTATCACATATATTCCAACTAGAGGGGTAACTTCACAATGACTATTATTCCCCTCATTTGATACGACCAAACCCCCAGGCTGATAGCCTACCATGTCTAATGTACATTTGTGTCCAAACATGAAATCTGTCGTTGAAAAATGAAGTCAATTTGTACATGTACATGAATTGTTCTTCCATTTTGAATGCATGTTTTTTTTTGGAAAACAGCAGCCTATACATGTATAGACTGTCAACAAAGTGTGAACTAAAATCTTCTAAACAGAATAATTCTGTACAGTGCATTAGTGAGAGTGTACATGTACAATGTATGTTAATGTATGTTTTTTTCCCAAGCAAACATGATGTTCAACCTGGGCCCAATTTCATAGAGCTGCTTAAGCAGAAAATTTGCTTAAGCACGAAAAAACATTGCTTAGTAAAATTAGGTTACCGGTCAAAACTCCATGTGATGTACATTGCTTGTGACTGGTATTTAGCTGTTGTGTACTTAGCATAACAATCGCATGGAGTTTTGGCTGGTAACCTGATTTTATTAAGCAAGACGTTTTTGTGCTTAAGCAAATTTTGTGCTTAAGCAGCTCTATGAAATTGGCCCCTGAATGTTAGAAGATAGAGAAACGGTACATGTAGAATTGAAGTGTACATTTTCCCCTCATGATACACCATTTGATTTCACTCTGAAGGATTATTCCTTCTTCCAACAAGAAATGCCAGCACAATAGTATCAATGTGCCAAACACTTACGTGAAAAAGACATACTCCGCGTGGACAACGGCAACGATTTATCTACGGATCCCAGGTTAAATACAAATATTTTTAAGTCGAAAGTCTAAATATGAATTTTTGTTCATGATTGTTGGTCCCCAATATCATAATATAATGAACACAACTGCACCAAACATTCAGCTATAAACTGAACATCCCCTTGGGTCCCAGATTTTATGTACAATTATAATGAAGAATTTTTGAATTTCTGAAAAATGCATTCATACTGTCTACTTTGTTTCTCAAAAAACACTTCCTTACTACATTGTGATGTCAAAAATGTTCATAAAAATCTCTTTGACGGTTCTGGAATGTGGTTCCTAAATGAAAATTAATTTACAGTCCGACGTCAGAAATTTTACCATGAGGTGCATTCTAAATGCTTGTGGAAGCTCAAAGTTAGGGAACACTCGACCAATTTTGTGCCCAATTTCTGGACGCCACCGTTTTTTAATTTCGGACTAGTTTTCATGACATTGAAATTGTTCACAAGGGATTCAGTAGCAAGCAGTATTAAAGTAATAGTGTCATAATTTAACTGAATGAATTTGAAGTTTGTAAACAAAGACGTTTGGCAACACTGCACGAGCAAAATCGAGGGAAACGTCAAAGTGTGGCACGTTAGGGGACTCCACTTTACTTTCATTTATAGGCCATCAGCCTCGGTCCAAAAATTTGGCCACCGGTATCAAATGAGGGGAATAATCGTCATAGCGATTTTTGGCAAGATAAACACCTCCAGAGTTGGAACATATGTATGATAGCATTGCAGCGGTGGCAACTTTTTGGGTGTTATCACCTTTTTTTTCCAAAATGTCCATCAAAATGCTTGTTACCACTCAAGGGGCGGTATACCTTGCGCATGCGCACTATAATCATTTATGCCCTGATTTGATGCTGGCCAAACCCCCAGGCTGATGGCCTATCACTGGGTATGGAAGTTGTTGCCATCTTATCTGTTTTGTTACAACATTGATCAATTGTTCAATGTCATCAAAGCAACTACTGTGGTACCTGCCTACATGTATTATTAAGTAGCTGCATGCAGGTTGGGTTGGACTAGAGTACTGTGAATCATGCAATAAGATAGACAGGTCTGATACCATCGAGAGTCCACTTCACTGTTTTCATTATCACTTTGAGAACTGGAAAGAACATACCAGCAGAAAAGGTTCAAAAGGAACAAACACAAACATAAAGGAAGCAAGGAGTTTGCACATGCATTAAGAGTAATGGTATACAATGTCTGAACGTGGGGTATTAATGTAACAGTGAAGCAATACTGCATACAATGGTCCGAGTCTTGTTACCAGACTCTACTCCAATGACAAAATACTACATTAATAATATCCATTTAAAGGATGCACCCCTGAATTAAAATTGACATAGACACGAGTGCTAAATCCCCATACTTCAAAATTCTTTTAAAAACTCTCACAGGTATTTGAGCTGCCCATCTTTCATTTTCTTTTCAATTTTTGGTGGAGTTGACCATTGACTTTTCGAGAAATTCTCACCCAAAGAAGACGACCCCTATTTTCCCCAAAGCGGAAAAGTAGCCATCTTGAAAAACGATCCCTCCACAACATGGCAAAATAGCGCCACCTTCAAGCCCAAATGCATCCAAAATGCTCAGAATTGGAAGCCCCAAGTCCAGGCCAGGGGTTCATTGCCATATCTCTTCATTTCTTTAATTGTATGGCTCTCAGAACTCTCTTTTATAGAATATTTTGAGGGTATAACGTTTATTCATGGGCTTGGCGGATGGGTTTAGGGTTATTTACAGGTGTGCACCCTGAGACATTCAGCAGTCATCCATACATATGCTGTGCAGGTACAGTCTGATCATGTGTTGAGGGTGAAATAGCCCACACATCACAGTTACACCAAGGAATCACTGAGCTCCATATAAACTCTGGATATCCCATTGGCCATGCTCGATTCCATGGGTGCATGGGCGTTCTTTCACTAACCCCTGGCTGTGACGAATATGTCAATGACGCTGACCGGCTATTCAGAGGGAACTGCGCAAGTATTTCGAAGACTGCACGCCCTATTATACACGATATCCCCTGCAGGTCATGTCACGTACGAACACTTTTTTTTTATGCCTGAACAATACGAATTCTGAAAGCCTTGTTTTTTGCCTAAAAAATCTGTGTCTGGTGTTCTAAAGGAAAGGGACGACAGAGGTACGTACACTGTACTTAGTGTAAATCAAACAAGAACTTGCAAGAAAATGCTTCTACTTTTGCCATTATCTTGATAAGGGTTATACATTGTACCTACCACAACCAAATAAAATACTTTTTTTAGAAACTTGAAATGCTTCACCAACCTTCCTGATCCTGCATCAGGTGCATTTGGTCCTGTGTTTGTCTGTTGAAAAAAAAAAAACCACCATCCAGAAACATTTGAAAATTTAAGATTTCTTTCAAGCAAGGTCAGTGTACACACCTAGTCATTCACAAAACAAAACAGAACACACACAAAAAATTACAACAAATTGAGGGTGCATCAATTTTGAGGTACATTTAACATGCATTATTATTATTAACAAAGTTAGAATTTGAATATTCCTGAACAGAGTGATACACATGGCCATGTGTATCACTCTGTTAAGCATTAACCCTACTATATGTTCATTTGAGTGGTGAACACTGCCTCAATCCTTCCAGACTTGTACATGTATGACTCGTGACTAGGACTTGGACCCCAGTCACGATGACATATGACTCAGACTCTGACTCTGACTCGAACCTGCGGGCTTGGACTTGGACTCGGCCTACTGGACTCGGGACTCCACCAAAATAGTTTTGGTAAATTTTTGGTCAAATATTTTTGGTCAATTTTCGGGGACAGACAGACAGACAGACAGACCGACCGACCGACCACCAAGTGACATGTAAAAACCCCTGCAAGAGCTTAAGAAGTTCTACAATTCTTTGTGATTGACACATTTCACAAAAGCCTGATGATTCAGCAAACCTGAGGACCATGACACTGAAAAAAAATGGGGGTATATGAAGCACACACACACAATGTGGCAAAAAAACGATCATTGTCCGACCTTCAAACAATCAAGGGGGAAAAAGCTAGGTACAAAAAAAGTTTTAGTTCATTCACCCCAATCGCTGTCTGTAAAAGGTCATGCTCGTCTTCAAACTGTTGAGATTTCTAGCTGTTATCCTTATCTATTGGCCCTTGATCAGAGAACACGTGGACTATGGACCTTGCACATAACCTGTCTAAAAGTGGATTGAGAAGACTACAATGTAGTCTATATTTACATTGTACACGTAGAAGGAACGCTTCTATCTGCTTTTGTAAGAACTGAAAAGGTTTCCAGAATTTTCTCTTAGAACAAATCAACAGGATGGGTGTTTTTCAATAAATATAGCATCTGCTCCTTACCTTTACTGAAGTTTCCCAATCGGCCTGTTATGAAAAGCAAGAAAAGAACAAATATGAAATGATCATTTCAAACTTAAACAGTGAAATAATCAACAGAAACTGCTAACAGAACTAAAAAATGGTTTTCTGAACACACTGAGCACGACAAATGAGATAATTCTTTGTTACATGTATTCTCAGTTTAAATAAATGAATCACCCCTCGATAAACAAATGTTTTACTTAATTACCAAGAAAAACCTAATTTTCTAAAGTCGTCCACATAATATTTTCTCCCTCTCTGGCTGACAAATTCAGCTACACAATCACAACAGTCAAAATCAATAAAGTGACTATTTGAACAGTTTAAAACTCCCCTGTTAATTCAATATAGCCATGCTTAGAAAAATCAAGCACTTTCAATCTCGGGCAGTGCTCCGTGGATGGGTCGTGTATGGCCGGCTGCCAAAGGCGCCTTACATGCCTGCCGCTCGACCACATTGTAGCCGTGTCCTTTGCAATTCAGCTTCTCATCTATGACTGAGGATGATTAGCCTCCCAAATTATTATTATTATCATAATTATTTGACTGGGGGAGATCGATAAGCCAGCTGTTCCTTCCAGTTACCTCTTTTGTCTGTTGACAGGATTTAACGAGACACAGTATTTACACAAATGTGATTTGACTGTTTTTTACTAGTCTGTATGTACATGTATGCATGGCAGGGGAAGTGGAAGAACTATTTGACTGTCTGTGGCTGATCAAACAACACAAGGGTTCATTAATCCATTTAAACAGTCACAGACAGTTAAAATTTCCATCCACTTCCCCTCCTATATTTTACACAAGCTAGTCACCAGCAGTTAGTTCATATGTCAAGCAAGCACTGTGACGAGTCAAACTCAGTCAGCAGACAAAAACGGGCAAGTTGTGGGCAGGGCTGGCTTATCGATTACCCACAGTCAAAGCGTTTACACCTCTATGTTCCGACACCCCTATGTTCCGACTGCACATATTCCTATTCCTAACCCTAACCCTAACCGGGAGTAACACAATCTAGGTTGTCGGAACATAGGGGTGTCGGAACATAGAGCAGTCACCGTCAAAGCAAAGCTGTATCAAGTTACATGTACATGTACATGTACATAAACAGTCACGGCCAGTCAATCTTCCTTTCTGTAGGCTGTGAGTTCTTAACAACTGAAAACAGTCACTTGCTTGATTTTGACTGAAAGGACTACTTGGCACAGAATGTATGTTTGCATAGATGGGGTTAAAGAAAAAACACCAATATTACAATAATGATTAAATGTTACGAAAGTTTAACTTTTAGTTTAAATTTACAATTTTTTTATTTTCTATGTGCATTCTTTGAGGGAGGGTCAAAACAGACAGGACACGGTGCAAGTCAAACAGCCTTCCCAACTAAGTGTGGAATGGGTGGCATATCAACAACCAGAAAACAATCAATGAACAGCAAAATAAGGAATCATCTAAAGTACACTACATTTGGCTATGGAGACTCAGCCTCTTCAAAATACACATTTGTTCTTGCCGGACATAATTCAGACGTGGATTTACTCTTAGAAAAAAAAAGTTGTTCACCTCTGCCAGATCACCGATGAGGTAATCCTGCATGAGTTCCCTGGCGTCTGATGAGTGGCCTACATCTTCAAATGATTCTGTGGCATTCGATCCTTCAAAGCAATAAACACAGAAAACAAGACGCAATGTAAAATTATGTGTAAATCTAGGGGCGAGATTGGGGGAAAGACAAATCCACGAAATAATCGGCAGAGGGTTTTGGGGCTGCTGTTGGCCCAGAGCAACATTGGGTCTATGCCTGTACATTGTATTTGTCTAAAGGTACCCCTTACAATACCCATTTCTTTTTTTTACTGAAATATTTATAGGTACAATGTACAGAGACCGTTATGGTAAAATGTATCAACTTCATCAATTGGGCTAAAAACATGCTTTTCATTTTGCTCTTTATATTTTGTTATTGAGTCTTGCTTTTCTTGCTGTAATTTTTATAAAACCAGTAGGCCTTATGTTGTATTCATTTCTGTGAAACAAAAAAATCATTCAAAAAAATATTCAGTTTATGGTCTGTTACATGTGCGATTTTCTCCCCCCCCCAAAAAAAAAACCCACTATAAACAAGAATTAATCACAGAGCCTCTCAGCCTGGATTTGTGGTTCATCTCCCAACTCTTCAATCCTTAATGACAAGCATGGAGACTTATTACAGTTGTGCCGTATCAGGGATCACTACTTCTCTGAAATAAATGAATGTCGAAACATAAAATGCCCAGGACAGTGTTCAACATTAAGGATCACAGGACCGTTTACATTTCTCTTTTTACGTAAAGACTGCAGAACAAAAGCACTCAAAATCTAAAGCAGGATATAAAAAAGAAGGACAATTTTGTTAAATTGGCCATGAATAAATGTCAGTTTTCAAGAAAACAGTGTTAACTTACAGTGCATTTTGCCTTAATATGAACCCTGGAAGGTTTGAGCAGAAATCATAAATTTAAAGAAGTTCATGTGACATCTTTTTAAATATGATACCATTACATTTGTATTGTTTTTCTTTAAATTAATCTCTTACATGAATATTCACTACTTCAATATCCAGCACTATGGCATACCGGTAGCTGTGGCAAATTATACGGTTGAAGTACTGTGTCTTTATATTAAATCTACCACTACCGGTATGTACAGTACGTACATGTAGAACACAGTGCAGTCGTTCACACTGCCCAAAGACCATTAATTTTGTGGTACGTTTATGTGTGTTTAAAGGCATAGGGTCATCTGCTTTTCAATTTTCATGCATTTTCATGATTTTGTTCGTTTCCAATAATAACACGACTCAATATCCATTCATGTTCAAAACCCAACCTGTTGAAGTTTCAGCTCAGTAGGTGTTACCCTTTATGAGAAAACAGAGAAAAACAATGCACAAACCTTTTGATCATGAAACATGACTTTGTGTACATGCACAGTATAACTCTTTATTTCCAAAAATCTGTCAATTGACTGATCGTTGGAAATCACACACATTTCTTGATTTCTTCTAGTGACAAGCAAGCCAGACGAAATAATTTCACAGGGTGTTTAGTACCAGTATGATCTTTAATCCATTCAAGTAAGCTTTTTGATAATAACTTGGTTGGTTGTTTTTGGGATAAATGCAAAGATCATGTCATACATTTTTTGCCTTTAAAACTGAAATAGTGTGGTGTTACTTAATGACATCATGTTAAGACATGGTAACATGGTGTTTTGTATCAGTTCAGTCTGTACTTCAGGTAGCTTTTCTCACTGTCTTTCTTGGCAATTCAATAAAATCCATGTGGGTAGCATAAACACACACTGAAATACAGGCACCTGCATACATTCTCTGTACAAAGCTACAGACCTGTAGTGTAGGCCTGTAAGTACATACTTCACATTATGCAGGAAACCCATATACCCACTTAAGAACTGTACGTCATATATTTTAAGGATTTAATGATAGTAGGAAACCCGCTGGGTGGTACACAATAAAAAAAAAACCACTCACATGAATGACTGTTGGTTATCAATATCATGATAAAAGGTCAAATCCTGATAAGTACTACATGTACATACACACGTACACATGTGTAGGCCCTATACATGTAATTCTATACAGAAGGATTACATGGATTGACTGATCATTTTCAGAGTTACAGCCTGTTCATATTTAAACTCTCCAAATACAGTAGCTCACGATAAATTAAGCAAAAAATATATTAAATAGTATCATAATACAATCACAATGTACATGTATAAATGGTTGCCTGCTTGTACAATTACAAAATTGATTTATGTACGATAACAATTATTTTTGTTAGTTTTGTTATAAAAAAGGGTGTGCATGTCACGTTATCTGTTCTCGTAAAAGAAAATTGACATCACACCATCTGTGTTCAGTTGTTGTTATGCATTTCTAAATGTAACTGGCTCTTTATCTACATGTAATTGTCAGGCACAATTATTGAGATGAAAACAGCTAAACCCCTTAGGTATTATTATATAAACTCTTGCTAAATCGCGCATGGTTAAAGGTATACGACATTTGCTTTTGCTTTTTTTTCCTTCAGAAATCGATGGAGTTAGGGATTAGTATTTTATGGCAAATATTTTTACACTGACCTGTTTAAAGTTTTGTGTTCATAGATGAACAAGCTGGAAAAATCAATAAAAAAATGCTGTTCTTGTAGCCTGGTTTCCTGATCCTACACTTCAGACGAAACAGAGCAATTCATAGACGTCAGGGAATTGTCAGGTCAGGGAACCAGACTGGCTGGTTCACGGGTGTGTAACCGATTGCACACAAAATGTGGACTAACTGAACTTGGTAAATTGATCGCCGTTTGAGAGTTGGCCACGCCCCTTAGACAACCCTATGGAATTTTTGTACGCTAAGCTTTGTTTGTCTCGTATGCTGCGCGTTCCACGTCCATTGTATAATTTGTAATTGAACAATATTTCACAGGCTGCGTTGTTGCGATTCTACCACGATAGGTCAATTGGGGGCAATGTTTGAAAGAAAAAGTCAGTTTTTTTCCAACGATGGTCGGCTGACCATTGTTGGATATTGAAAATGACAGCACACCAGTTGCCATGATTTCACTGGATGCTTGAGACTATTATTCACTTACAGTCAGGTAAGGTATTTCACGATAATTTTGGAAGCAACAGTGATTGATGGATTTAGATGGACTTGGTCCAGTTCTTAGTGAAAGACACTAGGGAGTTAGGGTTAAATACTTGTCGATATAGGCCTATGCTTTCAAGAGAATTTGAGTGCCAATGTGTACATGTAGATGCTTTTTTCTGTGGGGGAACGTACAGGGAGGCTATCAAAGACCTTTACAACAACTGTACGTACGTCTCCAACAAAATGTTAAAATGGGCCTGATTTTTAAAAATTTTTAGGGCGCTGTCTGGATATCAAAAGATGCAAGACCACTGGTTTAGCATTATGAGCAAAGACTTACCTCCTTGTTCAAGAAGCACCTCTTCACCTCCAGGATGCTGAAAACGTAAAGAAAAAAAAGATGTTAAGTCTACTTTATTATCCTAAACTTTCTTCGCATTTTTTAAAATGAATCTTGCCAAATGAACCAAAATCAAAACCACCAGTCCAAAACAATTTTGGGGGCCAAATCAAGATTGAGGTACATTTATATTTTCTCTTTGGTTTTGGGTTGTGTGTTTCTATTATTCAGCATTTTTCATTTTTGTTTTTTTTGCAGTTTGTGTCCTATTCTCTTGTTTATGCAGTGATGGCCAACTAAACTTTACCGACCACTGGTTGCAAAAAACTATGACTGCAACTTAGCAAACAAGTTGTGAGGCATACTGAACCATACTGACACAGTTGTGACAGTTGCTACATGAAGTTGGGGGTGTATCAGGGGCATGCCTGATAGAAATAGGCAAACAAAAAATTCTGCTTCTCATTACATGGCATTTGAAAATAGGGTACATGTAGGTAGGTAGGGAATTTTTTTGGGCATTTTTTTGTGTTGATCATACTGTACATGTATACATGTATGAACATACACATTAATTAAGTTGGTGTCTATATTCACTCATTCCTACAGTTATCACAGTACATACATTTCATTACTTAACCCTTACCCTACTAGACCCTCCAACGCATGCCAATATGTGCCTCAAGAAAATCTCCTATGTTTTTTGCATGGCCCTCCAATATCTGCCATGTCATTTCAAGGGTAACTGGACAGGCACTCCAATACATGCCACAGAGAACAATGAGAGTCCTCTGATAACAAAGTGAGTGCCCCCAGCTGGTCAGTATCAGGCACCCTCCAGGGCCTCCAACTCCTGCCAATTGGAGCCTTCACAGTCAAGATAGTTTATCCTCCAATTAACTGCAGCTGGAGGGCATTGGCATAACCAACTGACATGCAGTAAACTACCCTCAGAGAGTAAGGGTTAAATCAACTTTTTTTTTACATTGAAACAAATGTGCATGTTACAGGATGAGCTAAATTGACAAGTCAAAACTGTCCAGATTTAAAAAGAAAAATATACTGTTAATAAATGTTTTGCAGTTTGCTTTGCCACTTCTCCATATTGATGAACATGGTAATTCTTTCATTTCAATGAACCAATTCGTCCCCAAAATAAAAATTTTAAAAAAAATCAAAGAGCTCCTAAAATTGAAACACCCTTTTCTGGAGGTGTGCCAACCCAATGTAAAAGACTGTCAGTTTAGGGGTACTGACTGTACCCAACCCGACAGATTCCAACAAAACATGCTGTTGAGGTTTATTGGGTCGAGTACTGTAGGGTTCATGAGCAAAACTGTACTGATTTGCATGGCTGCAACTGAAAAATGTGTAAGAAAATAGCATTTTCTACTACTGTAAGACGCTGTGTAAAATCACTAAAAAAATAGTCTCATTAGAATTAAGAGAAGTCTGCTTTAGGTTGCTGAAGTCATTTTGGAATGATAAACCCATTCTTGACTCTCTTGATTTAGGTTTCTTAAATTAGTCTATAAATCTCAGTTTAAATCAAAAGTAAAGAGAGGAGGCCTGTACTGTCATGACTGTAGGTCCCGTAACTACACAATCACCAAATTATAGAATATAGGGTCATTAGACCGTTAGATATAAAAGGAAAGAATGCTGCAACCTGACGCCACTTTTTTCTTTATATAATGAAGGTCAGTCATTGCAAAAATGATGAAACATTTCCAATTTTGTTAGCCTGCAGTTAGGAATTACTTTCATGACTTTAGAAGATGTTCTTGACTCTCCTTAAACTTTGTACACAACCACTGAGTGGCGTCAGGTTGCAACATTCTTTTCCAAAAGAAGACTGCTTTAGATTGCAGAAGCAATTTTAGAATAAAGTTAAAGGACCGAAAAGAAAAGGGGGACCGTAACTACACAATCTCCAAAGGTAGAGCCCGGAGAGGACTTTTAATACTTACGTCATCCAAGAACTTCGTGACATCGTAGACTTTGTTATGAATTACGATCCATATCGACTGGCTTGTTTTGTGTTGTTTAACATCTTCTAGAGAATATATTTTTGTCTCTTTTGTCTCTTTTGTCTCTGACATGATTTCTGTTGGTGTTTTCCTAAAAAACCCGGAATATCTACAAACACGCACCAACCTCCGCTACAACCGGTATCGGTAACTAGACTCGACTACATCGGCGTACATGTACAAATTCACGTAGGCGCTCGCTGCATCATTGCAATTTTTGTATGCAATGCCCATAAAGGGTACCAGGGTAATATCAGTACGTCTGGCTGCCTGACCCCTACGCTTCATCACCACTAGTTTGACATAGAAGCCGCGGGCGTTTATAGCGAGAATCCGACTTATTTGTCAATATTGGTTGGTACCCACGGACCATGATCAATTTGCTGGCCAATTAAAAATTTGAGGGCGCTGTGACAATTTTATGGTCTAATAAAATGTTCGCTTGTCCAGCTCCGGCCCTCCGCCCATGGCGTGTCAAACGTTGCAATATTCAATATTTTGCAATATATATGTTAGATGTTCAATATGTGTTTGTTATCTTTTACATTTATGTGCGATGTTCAATATAAGTGTGCGATGTTTTTCATCATTTGCGCGATGTTTAATATATTTGTGCGATGTTTTACAATATATGTGCGATGTTCAATATCTGTGTGCGATGTTTTACATTTATATGCGATTTTCAATTTATATGTGCGATGTTTTTGACGATATATATGTGCGATGTTTTCAATATTATGTTCGATTTTTTGCATTAAATGTGCGATGTTTTTCGATACAATTGTGTGTGTTGTTCTACAATATATTTGCGATATTCTCAAATATGTGAGCAATGTTTTACACATATGTTTGACATTTCGAGCTATTTGTATTCGATGTTTCATCGGTATGTTTGCATTCGATCTTTTGCAATATGCATTTGATATTTCCCTTTTCATTTGATGTTTCTTTAAGAGTCAAAGTCTGGTTACTAGACCGCGAAAGTCTGACTATTTTGCCTAAAGTCAGTGTATGAGACGTCAGGGGATCGCGTAAAGTGATTAGAGCCAGACCTAAACGGTAAAAACCGGAATTGTGGGTAATTCTTTAAGCATACGCAATGCGTTCATCATTGTTTGGGCAGTACCCCAGCTGTGCCTGTACTACCCATATGTGCATCATCTATGCATTGAGGAGTGCATGACACATGGTCTGAGCTCCAAGGCCGATGTGCACCTGTCCCGTTTAATGATCCAGTTACCTGATAATTTGTTAGCATAAGCTGATGTAAAATTGGGCAAAATTAGATGTTTATGAAAAAAAAATCAAATTGTAAGGGGTTAACCTTGTATTTTTTTTTAGCAAAATCGGGAGAAATCAGATGTTTTTGGAAAATTGCAGATTGTATGGGGTTAGATGTTTATGAAACATTTCAAATTGTAAGGGGTGAACATTGCATATTTTAGCGAAATTGGGCAAAATCAGATGTTTCCGAAAAATTTCAGATGTAAGGGATTAAGGCCAAAAAAAAAGTCTCCGGTTTCTGGTATGCGCGCGCGTCGCCGTAGCCATGCGCGTCAGCAAAATGAACAAGTTTTTATTTTCAAAGAACGATGATGTCTCAAAACCGCCAAACTCACTGGTTTGACTGGAATCCTGCTGCTGCAAAATTTTAACGTGTTTTTAGATGGGGTTATGATCGAGAATAAGTTTTATGTGGCCTCTCTGGTCTTCCATAATATTTGCACTAAGTTTAGTCGGGCACCATTTGCAGTCATCAGCCGACATTTGAAGCAAAAAAAAACAGGTAAAAAAAAAAAAAACAAGCCGCGTCGCAGCACCACTTTTTGGGCAAGCTCCATACCAGAAACCGGAGACTTTTTTTTGGGGGGGGGGGGGGCCTAACCTTGCTTTTTTAGTGAAATTTTGCAAAGTTAGATGTTACGAAAAATTTCAAATTGAAAGGAGTTAACCTCGCATTTTTTTAAAGCGAAAATCGGAAAAAATCAAATGTTTCTGGAAAATTGCAGATTGTAAGGGGTTAACCTTGCTTTTTGAATAAGATTGGGGAAAATTAGATGTTCATGAAAAAAATTCAAATTGTAAGGGGTTAACCTTGCATTTTTTTTGCAAAATAGGACACAATCAGATGATTCTGGAAAATTGCAGATTGTTAGGGCTTAACCTTGTATTTCTAGCAAAATTGGGCAAAAAGAAATGTTTATGAAAAAATTTAAATTGTATACCTTGTATATTTAGTAAAATTTGACAAAATCAGATTTGTATGAAAAATCTAAGATGGTAAGGGGTTAATCTTGCTTTTTAAGCAAAATTTGGAGCATATTTTACTAAAATTGGGCAAAATCAGATTTGTATGAAAAATCTAAGATGGTAAGGGGTTAATCTTGCTTTTTAAGCAAAATTTGGAGCATATTTTAATAAAATTGGGCAAAATCAGATGCTTCTAAAAAATCCAGATGTAAAGTTTCCGCAAAAACAGCTGAAAAAGAGCCCAATGTTGAACTTTACTGAGTCTGAGGTCTATCGAGGGGACGATCCTTATTTCAACTCCCGGAGATTCGCTGACAGTCTCTATTTTTCTTTTTAAGAAAGTCGAAATAGCTGAAGAGGGAGGTGAGAATCTATATGTGCCCAGATACAAAGAGTAGAAATCTACGCGTCTGCCTTTTGAAAATACACAATTGCGGTGTTCATTGTTGCGTAATGATCCGCCTGGCACACGACTGTTTTGCACATTAGGCTGTGTTATGCAGCTTCCTAACAAACCAAACACACTGGGCTCATTATATCGACTTGTTTTTACCCATTAAGGTAAAGCAAATGGACCCAGTAATCTTCCTGGCGCGTTTGCTCACCTATAAAGACAACTTTTCTCAGTTTAAGGAAAATTCTAAGGTAACGAAATGGCCGAGTGGTTACGATTCGTCGTCCACGGTTAGCGGGGTCCCGGGTTCGAATCCCGCCGGTGTCTTTTTGGTTTTTAACGTATGAGTTCAATTATTCACTATAAGAGATTTAATTTCCCGTCGTAAAGTACCAACAGTACCTTAGCTTAATCGGTAAGCACTGCTGCTGGTACTGTCCGCGAGTTCCAGGTTGGCGCCTTCGTACAGGTTCAGGGCATGTGGTCCACTCGGAGGATCAGGGCTTAGGGGCCGCCCTGTTCCTCCCTTAGCTCTTTGCTTTTACATGGTGCCTGGCCCTCCGGGGTTATATGGATGGATAGGGAAGGAAGTGTGTATTGGTCGGGGACGCCGAGACCCCGGAAGAGAACTAAGGGATCGGCTGGGGCATTGTTATGGCTCAGACCGATCCCTGAAAGCTTGACTAGCACATAACTTTTTGATTTTTTTTACCCTCTATCTTTTATACTTTGGTTTAGTTTGATATCTACAGCTGCTCGGCAGGTCTACGGGTACTATCAAAATTGAAACAAAGGTGTATGTCATATATCAATGAATATTTCATAATTGACTATAATCAAAACGGAGTTTCGTTCGATCAATTTGACTATCATTATATAATGACGCGATTGCCAATTGACGTAAGAAACGCCATAAATTATACCGGGAAAGAATAAAGATGTACATTGTAATATAAATATTATTTATACATCTTTCAAATAACGTGTCTTTAATTGTGAACATTCCAAACAATACAGTAATTCGCAATGGTATTAGAATGGTATATGATAGCACGATCAATGCGTCTCTATTAAATTTAAAAATATATAATTTAGGCCCCTATGTGTGAAATATTCTGTTTATGAAACATTTCAAATAGTAAGGGGTGAACCTTGCATTTTTAAGCGAAATTGGGCAAAATCGGATCTTTCTGGAAAATTTCAGATTAAGGGGTTAACCTTGCTTTTGTAGTAAAATTTGGCAAAATAAGATGTGTATGAAAAATTTCAAAGTGTAAGGGGTTAGCCTTTCATTTTTAGTAAAATTGGGAAAATTTAAATGTTTACGAAAAATTTCAAATTGTCAGTGGTTAACCTTGCATTTTTTAGCAAAATAGGGCAAAATCAGGTGTTTATGGAAAATTTCAGATGGTAAGGGGTTTACTTTGCATTTTTAGCAAAATTGGGCAAAATCAGATTTGTATGAAAAATCTAAAATTGTAAGGGGTTAACCTTGCCAAATTAGGGCAAAATCAGATGTTTCTGGAAAATTGCAGATTGAAAGGGGTTAACCTTGCTTTTTTAAGCGAAATTGCGAAAACCAGATGTTTCTTGAAAATTTAAGATTGTTAGGGGTTAACTTGGCATTTTTAGCATAACTGGGCAATATCAGATTTATATGAAAAATCTCAAATTGTAAGGGGTGAACCTTGTATTTTTAGCGAAATTGGGCAAAATCAGATCTTTCTGGAAAATTTCAGATTGTAAGGGGTTAACCTTGCCTTTTTAGTGATATTTGGCAAAATAAGATGTGAATGAAAAATTTCAAATTGTAAGGGGTTAACCTTGCTTTTTTAGTAAAATTGGGCAAATTTAAATGTTATGAAAAATCTCAAATTGTAAGGGGTGAACCTTGCATTTTTTAGCAAAATAGGGCAAAATCAGGTGTTTATGAAAAATGTCAGATTGTAAGGGGTTCACCTTGCATTTTTAGCAAAATTGGGAAAAATCAAATTTATATGAAATATCAAAAATTGTAAGAGGTTAACCTTTGCTCAATTAGGGCAAAATCAGATGTTTCTGGAAAATTGCAGATTGAAAGGGGTCAACCTTGCATTTTTAGCAAAACTGGGCAATATCAGATTTTTATGAAAAATCTCAAATTGTAAGGTGTTAACCTTGCATTTTTAGCAAAATTGGGCAAAATCAGATGTTTCACAAAAATTTCAGATGTAAAGGGGTTAACCTTGCTTTTTTAGCGAAATTGGGAAAAATCAGATTTGTATGAAAAATCAAAAATTGTAAGGGGTTAACCTTTGCCAAATTAGGGCACTAAAAAGCAAGGTTAACCCCCTTACATCTGAAAATTTCAAATTGTTAGGGGTTAACCTTGCACTTTTTAGCAAAATACGGCAAAACCAGGTGTTCATGGAAAATTTCAGATTGTAAAGGGTTCACCTTGCATTTTTAGCAAAATTTGGAAAAATCAGATTTGTATGAAAAATCAAAAATTGTAAAGATTTAACCTTTGCCAAATTAGGGCAAAATTAGATGTCTCTTGAAAATTGCAGAT